CTTCGCTCCAGCTGTGCAGTCTTGTCTTTGCTGTGCTGAGTGCCACTCCTGTAGATCTCTCTGCCCCCTCTCCCCCGCCCTTCCTCTCATAGGAGGGATCTCATCCTGCCCCGCCCAGCCAGTCCACGCCTGGAGCAGCTATTCAGCTGCCATCTTTGTCCTCCTAATTTGCATATTTCTTCCTACTTGGCTAGTGGACGTAGCAGAGTGATGGTCAATTTGCATGTTTCTCTTTTATTAGTGTAGATATTTTTCTTGATGCTCTTGTCAATTGAATTTTTTTTTTTTTAATTTTGTTTTCAGTGTGTTCCTGGCCACTGCACTGAAATGCCTTGGGTTTCATATATTGATCTTGTATCTTGATACCTTGCTGGGCTCATTTATTAGTTCCCATAGATTTTTAGCAGATTCCTGGGGATTTTTCTGGACACAAGACCATGTTATCTAATAGAGAAGTTTTGCTTCTTTCCTTCTGATTTGGAAGCTATTCATTTAATTTTCTTAACCTGTTAACCGAGCGGGACATATAAATATGTCAAACATAAACACTATCAGGAATAGGTAGGACATATGAATACATCCTTGAAATATATGTTGTGCCCTGAGAGGGACGGTATATATTTTTTGTAGTCTTTATAATTGTTTGTAAAATTTATAATTTTTTAATTCGATGTTTCCATTTTTTTGTTGGTATTCTTTTCTATTTGTTTTTAATTTTGTATTTTCCTTTGTGCTTTATATATAATTAAACGAAAAAATATATATTTCATTTATTTTAATTAAGTATAAATAAAAAAAATATATAAAATTATGTCCGCTGGGCGTGACGTCCTGACACGTCCTTGTGAAAGAGTACACGCCCGTTGTACGTGGCGTAATTAAAAAGGGAATCCCCGGTGAACAGGTTAATTATCCTACACCCCTGTTTGGGGCTCTTTGTCTTTTCTTTTTCTAACTTAACCTTTTTTGTTGCTGCGATTGTTTTTTATCCTCACCTGAGATGTGCTTATTGTTTTAGAGTGAGAGGGCTGTGAGAAAGGGAGAACATCGACGTGAGAGAGGAACCTCCATCAGTGCCTCCTGTGAGCATCAGGCTGGGGTCGAGCCTGCAGCCTAGGCCTGTGCCCCGACGGGACGACCGCAGCCCGTGCACAGGGCGAGCCCAGCCCAGGGAGCGCTGGCCGCTGTTGTCACTGTCCTCACGTCTTAGGAAGTGAGGTGCTGGTCTTGTCGCAGGCGCCGCCCTCTGTGGCAGGCGGCATGCCCGAGTCTGCCCTTGCTCTGCTGTGGGAACTGTAGATGCTGTACTGCCCGGTGCTGCTTCCCTGCCTCGGGCATCGGCGTGCCAGCCCCTCTGCGCTGGGCCTCCCGCATTAAAGCGGGGAGTGCCGCTGCCCGGCCTCGTGGGCGAGCTCCGAGGGCCGAGGTGCCCTGCGGCCGGCTGCTGATGGGTCAGCACGCAGAGCAGGTGTGCTGCCTGCACCTGCCGCTGGCGCCTCCACCTTCATCCAGCTTTGCCATGGCTCAGTTTCCCCGTCCTAAGGTGGAGATGGCACCTTCCTCATAGGCTGCAACCCATCAAACACCCATCCCCATCGGGTTCTTAGTGCTGTTTGTGGGCTCCAGAAGTCAGCCCCGCTCACACTGAGCCAGCTCCTGGGGGGCAGGCAGGGGGGTGGGGGGCTCAGGCTGCTGGCCGAGCCCGGCCTCCTTGTCATCCGGGGGGCGTGGGCAGCATGGCCCCCCTGAACCCCGGACCTGTGGGTGAGCTGGCCGCGGTGTGGCCCACACCCGTGCGGAAGGGCCTGTGTCACGGTGGAGCCGCCCTGGCTGCTGCCAGGTGCCTGACTGGGACACACCAGCCCCTCCAGATGGCCGCTGTGCACTCTATTGGGAAAGCAAGTGCGCTGATAGGCTGATGGTAGATTGAGAAAGAGTCCAGTTCAATTCTAGGATTTGGGGCCAAAGCCAGTAGAGAATAGAGGGTTTGTGGACATGGGGGCGGCCACAGGCAAGCTGGCAGGGAGCATGAGAGCGGGGCGGGGTGTGTCGGGCCGGGCGGCAGCAGGAGCTGTGCCTGTGTCTGCGGGGCGGCCCAGCGAGCATCACAGGACAGGCCGCCCCGGCCGGGGGGAGAGGGCCTGGCCTCTGTCCCGCCCCTGCTCCGGCCTGGCCACGGGCCCGCAGACGCCTCCCGCTCGGTGTCCACAGCAGCCTCTGATCTCCGAGACCAACCACTCTACCTTTCTGCCCAAGACGAGGAGTCAGTGCTCGAAATCAGAACATTCTGGAAAAGCAGCAGGAAGAGCCTCTTGCCCGCGGGCTGGGAGGCCTGTGGGGCGCTCACAGCAGCTTTTCTCCGCGCGGGACACAGCCCTCCGCCCTCCGCCGGGAGCAGGACAGGCGGCACATGGGCAGCCCCAATGTTTTCCTTTATAAAACAGGCTGAGACGCCACTCCATCGGGTCTCTGTCCTGTAAGGATGGCCTTGCTGCCTGCCATCGTCAGACGCACCTCTCCCGCGGCAGGGTCCCCACGGCCCGCACCGGGAGACCACCGGTGCGGAGGCCGGGCGGTGGGTTGGCGGCATGTCCTGGGGCGGCGTCCTCGGCTGCACACACAGCATAAGGCCCTTCACCCGTCCGCCACAACTCCGTCCAGGACGGGGTCTGTCCCTTCAGCGAGGCCCAGAGGAGTGGCCTTCTCCTGGAACCTGCTGCCAAGCTGAGGAAACGATTGGCACCCGTTACGTTAGTTCTTTGGTTCCTGCAGGCAAGCTTTCTGTCATGGGGTCGAACCCTGGGTTCAAAATAAGACCACCGGAGGCTGATGATTTATTGAAAAAAAGCAGGCAAGGATTTATTGAAATGTCTGGCCAGGCAGCCGCAAGAGCACCACACTGCACTGCTTTAGGGGCAGGTAGTTATTTTTAAAGGTTCTGAGAAGAAAACCCCCATTCTGCAACAAATTGTTGCTTGGGATTTTCTGCTGTTCTTCCTAGATAAAATGTTGCTTTCTAGTTTGCTTTAGCCCGTTTGAAGAATAATGAAGATAAACTCAGCTGTCTGACCTTGCAGGCCAGAGACCAGATATGCTCACAATCTCAATACCATGCCAGGTGCACCTTCTCAATTGGATAGAACAGCATTGTTCTTCAAGGCCAGCATCGAGATAACCACTAAGTGCACATAGGGCTGGCTCTTTAATAGAAAAAGGAAGTTCTGCCTGTAACCTTGCTTAGAATTTGAATTCATCCTATTTCACTTTCTACAGCGCATCGGCAGGCTCTCCCTGTGAAGTGCAAGCCCACACGGCAAGCACTTTTTATTTGGATGCTTCACATTCATCGATGTGTGAGATCTCTATGAATAAGGGTGCTGAACCTTTGTCCTGTATTCTCCAAATACCTTTTCCTAATTTTTATTTAAAAAAATATTTTATTGATTTTTTTTTTTTTTTTTTTTTACAGAGAGGAAGGGAGAGGGATAGAGAGTTAGAAACATCGATGAGAGAGAAACATCAATCAGCTGCCTCCTGCACGTCCCCTACTGGGGATGTGCCCGCAACCAAGGTACGTGACCTTGACCGGAATAGAACCTGGGACCCTTGAGTCCACAGGCGATGCTCTGTCCACTGAGCCAGACTGGCTAGAGCTTTTCCTAATTTTTAAATCCGAGTTTATGTTTGTTTTTCAGTTTTTAGGGAGTAACCAAAGATTGTATTGTTTCTGTTGCTCTTCATGCTGCCCCTCCTTCCCACCCAGCCTGCCTCTGGAGCTGTGCTCGTGCTGAGACCCCCGGGGTGGGCCAGCTGTCTGACTGTCAAGGTCGTTTCTCTCAGAGTGTGGAGGAGCTGGTCCACTCACAAAGCCGTTTGCAGGGGGAGAGGCTGAGTCGCCACTGCTAGCATACACTGTTCGCTAATGACACTCTTCCTTTGCAGTTGGCTACACTTTTCTGGTTGGGCTCCTGCCAAGGTCACCCTGTTTACAGCTGGCCTGCAAATACTGTGCTACATTCTAACGTGTAGCGAGAACAGCATTCAGTGAGGACGCCCACACCCTGGGAGCCTTGGCCCGTTGCACTTGGATAATCCTTGTGTCATTGCTTTCACTGTCCTCTGATGCGTGTTCTTTCTTTTTCTTTTCTCTGTGTGCCAAGCTTTGCACGTGCGTTTTATTTTTCCCTATAACTATAAAATCTACCCCTTTTTTTTAATCCGCAGCTGTGTATTACATCTTTCTTTTTAAAGAAGCTCCCTGCTCAGAATTTTTTTTATCAGGTTGTCTCCTTTAAAAAAAAAAAAAAATGTTTTACCCATACCCATCTCCATGACCACCACCAGCCTGTATGTAAAGGTCTGTTTCTGGTTTTTGTTTTATTTTTTAAAAATATATTTTATTTATTTATTTATTTATTTATTTATTATTATTTTTTTTTTATAAAGAGGAAGGGAGAGGGGTAGAGAGTTAGAAACATCGATGAGAGAGAAACATTGATCAGCTGCCTTCTGCACACTCCCCATGGGGATGTGCTCACAACCAAGGTACATGCCCTTGACCAGAATCGAACCTGGGACCCTTCAGTCTGAAGGCCGATGCTCTATCCACTGAGCCAAACTGGCTAGGGCAGTTTGTTTTATTTTTTAAATTTCACATATAAGTGAAATCACAAAGTATTTATCTTCTTCTATCTGCCATATCACTTAGCATAATCCTCTCTAGACCCATCGGTGTTGTTGCAAGTGGCAAGATTGTATTGTTTCTGTTGCTGAGCGAGGTCCCCAGCATGCCTCTTCCCCAGCACTGGGCCTCAGAACACGGAGCGTGTGCCTCAGGTGGGCCAGCTCCGCGTCGGCTCCCGGCCCCTGCTCTGCCTGCACTCCTGTCCGGGCTGGGTGACCAGGGCTTCCCGTGCCGCCGGGCAGCCACGCCTGTCCCAGCCGAGGCTCCTGCAGAGCCCGCCTCCGGAGAGGGGCTCATGCTGTCCCTCTCTCCCTAGGCGCGTGCCCCCGCCTGCAGCCGCCCCCGAGGGGCACCCTCCAGGTGCTCCGCGGCGACGGGGCCTCCGTGGGGACTGTCGTGGTGTTCCACTGCCCCTCAGGACACCAGATGGTGGGCTCCGGCCTCCTCACCTGCGCCTGGAAGGGGAGCGTCGCCGAGTGGTCTTCAGGGACCCCTGTGTGCACAGGTGAGGCCCCCTCCCTCGGCTGCCCGGACCCTGCGCCCCGGGAGGGCCTGGTGCTGTCATGTGGACGGCGTGGTGTCCGCAGAGAAGGTGCCGTGATGCACGTCCCGGCTGGGCCTCTGCGTGGGCTCCTGGTGCTGGTGACCCTCGTGGCTTCAGGTCCACGGAGTGGATTCAAGTCCCAGGAGCTGCTCCAGGCCCTAGGCCTGCAGGCCGAGGGCACCTTGCCGTCTGAGCGAGCACGTACTGTCCTGCATTTGTTCGCTGATTTGGGCTCTGAGCATGCACGTGGCAAGCCCTAATGGAAGACTCCACGTGCCAAGAGTTCTAGGACGGCCTCCGAGGGCAGGATGCCCTGGCCCTGGAGCCCGGGGGGCGGGGTGCCTGTATTTGTAGTGAGGGTGGTACCTGCACAGCAGTCTTCAGAGGGGCCACGTGTGTGTGTGATATAAAGGCTCAGTAGTCAGGACAGTTTGGAAAAGGCCGAGGGACTCCTCAGAGCCTTTAAAATGCTCTGTGTTGGGTGAATTTCGAGAAGGAGGGTTTCTGTTAGGATTAGATTCCTAGAGTTACCGGTACAAAACCCGAGGAAACGAGCCTTCTCCTGCCATGGGCCTCAGATGGGCAGTGCCAGGCTCACATGTGCCCTCAGTGGGGTCCCCTCTGAGCTATGGCTCTGCTGGGGTTGGCCTTGAGCCCAGGCTGCAGCGGGTGAGAGCCAGAGGGCCTCCTGGCACCCGTCAGAGCTTCTCCCGTGTGCCCACGAACTCCTACACATGCTCCAAAGCCCTGCTCCACCCCTCCCCTACTTGCGAGCAGTCTTCCCTGACAGCCTCATTCCTGTAGGGTTTGCACAGACCGCCCCTTGGCAGCAGCTGCCCTGCCGGCCTGCCTGGCAGGGCTCCTGAGGGCAGGGCGCATGCTGGGCCTCCGTGTGTGCGGGAGCTGGTCGTGTCTTTCAGCTGTGACGCCCCCCGAGACCTTCGGCTTCCGGGTGGCCGTGATCGCCTCCATCGTCAGCTGCGCCGTCATCCTGCTCACATCCATGGCCTTCCTCACCTGCTGCCTCCTGAAGTGCGTGAAGAGGACCGAGCAGAGGCGCTGCCACAGGCACGGTGGCCCGCACGCCGGGGAGGGAGGCTGGGGCCCTGACCACCCCCTGGAGCAGGAGCCGGCCCGGCACCGCGCCAGGGGTGGCAGCACCCACAGCCATCGGGGCCTCCTGAGGGTGCCCGGGGCCTGAGGAGCGGGCCACCGACCACGGCTGCCCTCACGGCTCCAGAGGCGGCAGACACGGTGGGTCAGGCCTGCGCTGGGCTGGCGCGTGGCACCGTGGTCGTGAGCGCCGTGGGCTGGCGGCGTGGGCCTGGCGGTGAGCTGTGTGCTCCGGGGGTGGGAGCGGGGGTCGGGGGGCTGTCCCCGCGCTGCGGCTCAGGTAACCATCCTGTGGGCGAACGGGCCCTCGGCTCCGGAGGGCTGCTCGGGGAGCGATGTTTGTAAACGAATGGTTTTCCCGGTAGAATAGTGTCCAGACCCCCTCCCATTCCTCTCAGCCTCCTCAGTTGCCTGTGGGCACTGCTTCTTCCACACCCTTCGCCACATCAGCTCTTCTGGCGGCCACTTCATGTTTTAAAACTGTGCTAGTCATTGATTTCGCCATGACATACTCAGTAGCCAGACGTGCAAACACTTCTACCCTACTCTGCAATTATTTCTTTTAAGCTCTAATGTTTTTATAGAAACTTTCCCTTTCACTTTGTCACTAACCTTAGGACCTGTGGTGACGTACTGTCATATTAATAATAATAACTAGCAACAAAAGCAGAAAAACACGGACCTTTTCACAGCACAGTTTCCTGAGATGTTAATAATGTGAGGGTTAGCAGTAAACTGATTCATACTGGAGTCATGTGAGAGTCACGTGACTGGCCATGCAGGTATCAGCATGAAAGGGTTGTGACATCGAGAATGAAGTATTATTTAACAACAGAGATGTTTTAAAATATATTTTTATTGATTTCAGAGAGGACAGGAGAGGGAGAGGGAGAGAAACATCAATGATGAGAGAGAATCACTGATCAGCTGCCTCCTGCACGCCTCCTTTTGGGGATTGAGCCCTCAACCCAAATATATGCCTTGACCGGAATCGAACCCAGGACCCTTCAATCCTCAGGCTGGCGCTCCATCCACTGACCAAACCAGCTAGGGCGACAGCTGAGATACTTTTCTGTGAGCAGCGGGCAGAGGTCTGAGCTGTTTGCGGAGGGAGATGTGTGAGAGCTGTCTGCCGTAGTTCTCAGCACGGAGGTGAAGTGTGTGTAACATGAGAGCTGCCACTGCGCCTCGTTGCGGGGAGAGCTCGGGCGCTGGTCCGCTCACTGTGCTGAGCCAGGTCCCTGAGCCTGTCCCAGCCCGTCCTGGCCTCCTGGCAGCTGTGGTCTGGGTGTCCCAGCGGCCCGAGCCCGCGCCTCACCCGCCCCCACAGAGCTGAGGGGCCACAGGCCTCGGAGCCCCGCTGGGGCGGGCACTGGCAGAGGCTGGGGCGGGGGGCGGGCACTGGCAGAGGCTGGGGCGGGGGCGGGCACTGGCAGAGGCTGGGGTGGGTGGGGGGTGGGCACTGGCAGAGGCTGGGGCAGAGGCTGGGGTGGGTGGGGGGTGGGCACTGGCAGAGGCTGGGGTGGGTGGGGGGTGGGCACTGGCAGAGGCTGGGGCAGAGGCTGGGGATGGGGGGTGGGCACTGGCAGAGGCTGGGGCGGGGGGCGGGCACTGGCAGAGGCTGGGGCGGGGAGCGGGCACTGGCAGAGGCTGGGGCAGGGGGGTGGGCACTGGCAGAGGCTGGGGCAGAGGCTGGGGCGGGGGGCCGGGCACTGGCAGAGGCTGGGGCGGGGGGCCGGGCACTGGCAGAGGCTGGGGCAGGGGGGTGGGCACTAGCAGAGGCTGGAGTGGGGGCCGGGCACTGGCAGAGGCTGGGGCGGGGGGGCGGGCACTGGCAGAGGCTGGGGTGGGTGGGGGTGGGCACTGGCAGAGGCTGGGGATGGGGGGTGGGCACTGGCAGAGGCTGGGGCGGGGGGCGGGCACTGGCAGAGGCTGGGGCGGGGGGCGGGCACTGGCAGAGGCTGGGGATGGGGGGCGGGCACTGGCAGAGGCTGGGGCGGGGGGCGGGCACTGGCAGAGGCTGGGGCGGGGGGCGGGCACTGGCAGAGGCTGGGGGCGGGGGGCGGGCACTGGCAGAGGCTGGGGCGGGGGGCGGGCACTGGCAGAGGCTGGGGCGGGGGGCGGGCACTGGCAGAGGCTGGGGATGGGGGGCGGGCACTGGCAGAGGCTGGGGCGGGGGGCGGGCACTGGCAGAGGCTGGGGGCGGGGGGTGGGCACTGGCAGAGGCTGGGGGCGGGGGGCGGGCACTGGCAGAGGCTGGGGCGGGGGGCGGGCACTGGCAGAGGCTGGGGGCGGGGGGTGGGCACTGGCAGAGGCTGGGGCGGGGGTGGGCACTGGCAGAGGCTGGGGCGGGGAGCGGGCACTGGCAGAGGCTGGGGCGGGGGGTGGGCAGTGGCAGAGGCTGGAGCGGGGAGCGGGCAGTGGCAGAGGCTGGGGGCGGGGGGCCAGGCACTGGCAGAGGCTGGGGGTGGGGGGTGGGCACTGGCAGAGGCTGGGGCGGGGGGCCAGGCACTGGCAGAGGCTGGGGTGGGTGGGCGGTGGGCACTGGCAGAGGCTGGGGGCGGAGCCGGGCACTGGCAGAGGCTGGGGGCGGGGGCCGGGCACTGGCAGAGGCTAGGGCGGGGCCGGGCACTGACCGCCTCCATCTGCTCCACAGGGCGGCCCCGCTGTGGCTCCAGCTGCGCGGCGAGGACTTGGAGACGCTGCAGGCCGCCTACCTGGGCCTCCCGGGTGGGAAGAGCAGTGCGGGGCCCGGAGGCCAGCCTGGCCAGGAGCGGGGCCACCCCAGCCTCACCACGTGGGCACCGGCCGGGCAGTGGGCAGGGACAGGGCGGGCAGTTGGTCGGTCAGGGCTGGAGGGCCGGACCGCGGCGCGGGCCGCCCCTCCTGCTGTGCGGCTCCCGCCTCACCCCGGCGGAGACGGCTGCTGCGGCTCCCCGGGCTGCACCTACAGAGCTCGCGCTTACGGAGAGGGCTCCCGAGCCGTGTCCATTCGCCAGCCCCGCAGGCCGGCCGCGCCCTGTGGGCTCGCTCTGTCCTCCCCTCCCTGCTCCCTTCCAGAGCGCACATGCACACACACACATGCACTCTCGCGCTCATACGCACACGCACGCACATGTATACACACACAGGCATACAGGCGCACACACAGGCACACATGTGTGCACACGCACGCACACACAGGGCTCAGGGTTCTCTCACGCCCTCTGTGACTGGGAGTCGGCCTGGTGAATGTGGGCACGCTCTGCCACCCTCAGGCCCACGTGGCCCGGCAGCGGGCTCCCGGCTTCATCTTGGAGCCACGGTCGGTCCCTGCAGAGCCCGAGCACACGCACACGCAGACGCAGACGCACACGCAGACGCAGACGCACACGCAGACGCAGACGCACACGCAGACGCACACGCAGACGCAGACGCACACGCAGACGCAGACGCAGACGCACACGCAGACGCACACGCAGACGGGCTCCGTGGGCCGCTTCCCGCCTCAGCTCCCCCCGCGGCCTTAAGAAGCGTGATTAGTCCCGTGTTGTTCTCTCTTTTCCTGCGAGGAACGAGGATGGGTCTGTTTCCCTTCTCGTTTTATCTGTGTCCCCACGACCTCGAGGCTATCCTCTCTAAAGCTTTATTTGGGGGAATGTCACAAAGGCAGGCGGAGACAGGCGTGGGTCTCCTGTCCCCTGCTGTCCTCAACAGTCCCCGTCCCCACCCAGGGCTGGCTCCGCCCCTTCCCTGGGAGTCCGCCCCGGCTGCGCCCTGCGGGGAGTCCCCCGCCCTGGGCGCCCGGGGCGTCTCCCTGTAGTGCCCGCCTGCCCGCTGAGGCGCCCGGAGTGGGCGAGGCTGGGGCGTGCGGCCCTGCGGGTGCTGCTCTGTCCCACCGCACAGATGAGGAAGCAGGCGGGCGGGCCGGCCGGCTGCCCTGGGTGCGAGGACTCTGGGCCTGCCCCCCGGAGGGCCCCAGACCTGGGCCTGCCGGCTGGTGGCCAGGCCACCGGGCTGCCCCTGCGGCTGTGGCTGTGCGGCCGGTGGGCCCCGAGTTCCACTCCGATGGTCAGTGTTTGCGAGACCCCCTCACGCTCAGGTTTGGGTCAATGTTGGTGCTTAGGGCTGTTTCTCTTTTTTGAGATGGCTTTTTGGGGTGATCCTAGAAATAGGCTGTTTAGGCCAAAAAATCTCCATAGTCTTATTACCAAACTAGAGGCCCGGTGCATGAGATTCATGTGTGTGTGGGGGTGTCCCTCAGCCCAGCCTGCACCCTCTCCTCTGGGACCCTCCCGGGATGTCCTAAGCCGGCAGTCAGACATCCTCCTCACAATATGGGACTGCTGGCTCCTAACCACTCCCCTGCCTGCCTGTGTGTGTGTGTGTGTGCTGGGAGCGCTCTGTGTGTGTGTGTGTGTGTGTGTGTGTGCGCTGGGAGCGCTGTGTGTGTGTGCTGGGAGCGCTGTGTGTGTGTGTGTGTGTGTGTGTGCTGGGAGCGCTGTGTGTGTGTGCTGGGAGCACTGTGTGTGTGCTGGGAGCGCTGTGTGTGTGTGCTGGGAGCGCTGTGTGTGTGCTGGGAGCGCTGTGTGTGTGTGCTGGGAGCGCTGTGTGTGTGTGTGTGTGTGTGTGTGTGCTGGGAGCACTGTGTGTGTGTGCTGGGAGCACTGTGTGTGTGCTGGGAGCGCTGTGTGTGTGTGCTGGGAGCGCTGTGTGTGTGCTGGGAGCGCTGTGTGTGTGCGCTGGGAGCGCTGTGTGTGTGTGCTGGGAGCGCTGTGTGTGTGTGTGTGTGTGTGTGTGTGCTGGGAGCGCTGTGTGTGTGTGCTGGGAGCACTGTGTGTGTGCTGGGAGCGCTGTGTGTGTGCTGGGAGCGCTGTGTGTGTGTGCTGGGAGCGCTGTGTGTGTGTGCTGGGAGCATTATGTGCTGGGAGCACTGTGTGTGTGTGTGTGTGTGTGTGTGTGTGTGTGTTGGGAGCGCTGTGTGTGTGTGCTGGGAGCACTGTGTGTGTGTGCTGGGAGCACTGTGTGTGTGTGTGTGTGTGTGCTGGGAGTGCTGTGTGTGTGTGTGTGTGTGCTGGGAGTGCTGTGTGTGTGTGTGTGTGCGCTGGGAGCGCTGTGTGTGTGTGTGTGTGCTGGGAGCATTGTATGTGTGTGTGCTGGGAGCACTGTGTGTGTGTGCTGGGAGCACTGTGTGTGTGTGCTGGGAGCACTGTGTGCTGGGAGCGCTGTGTGTGTGTGTGTGTGCTGGGAGCGCTGTGTGTGTGCTGGGAGCACTGTGTGTGTGTGTGTGTGTGTGCTGGGAGCACTGTGTGTGTGTGCTGGGAGCGCTGTGTGTGTGTGCTGGGAGTGCTGTGTGTGTGTGCTGGGAGCACTGTGTGTGTTGGGAGCACTGTGTGTGTGTGCTGGGAGCGCTGTGTGTGTGTGTGTGTGTGTGTGCTGGGAGCGCTGTGTGTGTGTGTGTGTGTGTGTGCTGGGAGCGCTGTGTGTGTGTGTGTGTGTGCTGGGAGCGCTGTGTGTGTGTGTGTGTGTGTGTGTGTGCTGGGAGCGCTGTGTGTGTGTGCTGGGAGCGCTGTGTGTGTGTGTTGGGAGCACTGTGTGTGTGTTTGTGTGTGTGCTGGGAACGCTGTGTGTGTGTGTGTGTGTGTGTGTGTGCTGGGAGCGCTGTGTGTGTGTGTGCTGGGAGCGCTGTGTGTGTGTGCTGGGAGCTCTGAGTGCTGGGTGTCCAGAATTACGCACAGCTACTAAGCATGAAGCTGTTTTAATTCAGCCTTTCTGGCTCCAAAGTCCTCAGATTTGCCCCCAAGCTGTCTTTCCTCTCCACTAATTCATTAATTGATTCATTCATGTATCCACGAAGCCAACAGAGAGTTGTGTAATTCCTACTGCTTCCAAGCGCTTTTCTGAGAATTAGCTGTGGGAGGGAACAGAGAGCCTGGAAGGCTTCTCAGAGGAGGTGGCACATGAAGTGAGCAGGTGGGGAGAGCCTGGGTTTCGGGGGAGGAGGGAGACAGCCCTGGGGGAGGGAGCAGCCTGCGAGGCCGGTGTCCGGGAGAAAGCAGAGCCAGGTGACAGCTCGGGCCTGGCTCAGGCCTGATCAGCCTGGGGACCGGGTGGTTGTGGGTTGGGGAGGAGGGGCCACAAGGGAGCAGAAGCTGGAGAAGGAGGTGGCCTGGCCCCAGACCCCCGGCCGGGGAGGCAGCCTGACCCTGTGGTCTCACACACTGATAGGTGCCTTCCGACCCCCGCCCCACACCGCAAAAAGCTCGGAGGCAAGGTCCCTGAGGCCTGGGTCTCTCCTTGCGTCAGTCACTACAGCCGAGGGGCCCGAGGCTCAAGGCAGGACATAGTGCCAGGGCCTCTCCAGGAGGAGAAATGGGGCTCCCCAACCTTGGGGTGATGGTCGCATCCAGGCCCACTGAAGGCCATGCCGGGGACCTGGGAGCCCAGCAGGGGGCAGAGCTGAGCCCACGGAATCCTGGCTCTCTCTGCAGCTCACTCCTCCTCTCTCTGCAGAGACCCCGGTGAGCGCACCAGGGCGTCGGCTGCCGTGGCCTGCTGCGTGGACAAGGACGCCTGGGCCGCCCGCAGTGCCGCCTGCTCACTCCGGGCCCCGGGGACAGGGCACAGCGAGCCCCGGGCAGGCCCTGCCCGCCCCCAGGCCCCCCGCGGCAGTGCCCGGGCAGCCCCGGCCCCCGCCGCCCTCCAGGCCCGGGCTGCCCGGCCCCCCCATCCGCTGGCCACCCGTGTTCCCACGTGTGTCCCGCTCGAGGCAGGCCAGTGAAGGGGGGTCTGGTTTCGGGGTCCCAGGCCTGGTGCTGAGCTGGGAGTGCCTGTGCCTGCAGCTCAGCCGGGCTCCTGGGCGTCGCCTGAGGCAGCAGAGAGCTGGGCCCCAGCCATGGCCTCAGACGGGAGGCTGGACAGGAGGCTGGACGGGAGGACACGGCTCCGCGCGGCCAGGGAGCGGCAGTCCCATTGCAACTGCCCGTGGGCGCTCCCTCCGGGGATGTCAGGGGCGGGAGCCTGTGCTGTGTAGTAAAGGTTCTCCCTCTGAAACCGTCCAAGCTGCTCAGTTCCTCCGCAAACCTACATGCAGCCTTTGTCCCGCCTGCAGCGCCCAGCAGGTGGGCTCGGGCCTCTCCCGGGAGCCCTCTGCCCCCACCCCGCGGGGCCGTCCGCGGAGGGAGGCGCGGGCGTGCAGGCTGCCCGCGGTCCGGTGTGCCGGTGTTGGCAGGTCCGGGGCGGCGGCACCTCCAGTGCCAGCTCCTCAACGGGCAGTGGGCCTCCCCGGGAGAGGTGGCCAAGGCCAGGAGGCCTGCTGGTCACTGGGGTCAGCACAGGCAGAGCCCACCGCCCGACAGAACCCTCACAGTCCCTGACCCATCCTGTGGAAGCGACTGGATACAGATGCACGGCAAAGGGGGTGGCTGGAGGGATGACCCCCTCAACCAGAGCAGCACAGGCCTGTTCTAGGGTCCCTGCAGGCTCCGCTCCGGCGTGTCCCGCATGGCCAGCAAGGCCCTCAGCCGCGGGCGCCGGTCCCGGGCGGACAGAGGCGGGCGGCCAGTTCTCGGCCACGGGGGACCTGAGCGGGGTCGTGGCTCCTCACAGCTCAGCAGCAGCCAAGATCTCACCGCGAGAAAGGCTCCCAGGTGCCTCGTCCTCAGTGCTGAGCGGGACCAAGCCCAGCAGCCCCCCCTCTCCCCGCCTGCCCCCCCAGGCCCGCCCAGCCCTCATGGGAGGAACTGGGGCAGGAGGCTGGGGAGGGCTCGGGGAGGCAGGTGTGGGGAGGCGGGTGTTTGGTCCCCGGGTGCCTGAGTCTGGGCAGCTGGGCAGAGGCCAGGAGGAGTGGGGTGAAGTGGCAAAAGAGGGAGGCCCATTCCCTCAAGCACCCGGAGCTGAGAGGCCTCCGGACGCCCACAGGGCTGCAGGGGCAGAGGTGGCAGGGGGAGGGGGGGCGGAGGGGGGCGCAGATCAGCCCGCAGGGTGCCGCCTGGATGCAGCCACTGCCAGGAGGCCTGGGCAGGCAGCGCAGCGGTGCGGTGCTGGGCCCTGTGGTATTGGTTCTCACTGGGTTGGGAGGGGCCCCACCAGGAGCAGGGGGCTGCTTCCTACAAACACACCCGAGCACAGCAGCCTCACCAGCCATAGGGGCGACATGGGGCGGGGTGCAGCTGAGGACACACACTGGATAGCTATTAAAACTGCTGGGGGGGGGGGGGGGCTCACCCAGGCCCTCTGGGACGTGTGAGCATGCGGGGCTGGGGGTGAGGCTCACCCAGGCCTTTTATGAGAGATTCAGGACGTGGGAAGCAAACAAATGGAACGGAGCATCTCTGCCACACCATTCCACGTGGAACCCTTGATGTGCCTACAGCACTCAGCTGCAAAGCGATGATGAGCTGAGAGCGAAGTACAATGGCCCCCACTGCTTGAGTTCTATAAACGTCACCTAAGCAAAGAGGAATTTCCCACTTTGAGGAAATATGCATCTGTGTCCCCAACTTACTGCAGTGAGCAGTTCTTTCCTTTTTTTAAATGAACTCTTTATTGTTGGAAATATTACATATGCCTTCTGACCCCTTCTAGCCCGCCCACCCCACCCCAGGTCTCACCACCCTATTCTGTCTGTGTCCACGGCATATGCAGATATGTATCCAAGTTGTTTGGTTGATCACTTCCACCCTGCCCTGCCTTCCCATCGAACAGATTCCTCATCTGTTCCCTGTTTCCATGTCTCTGGATCTATTTAGTTCATCAGTTTATTTTGTTATTAGATTCCACAGGTGAGTGAGATCATGTGATACTGGTCTTTCTCTGACTGACTTATTTCGCTTAGAATCATGCTCTCCATGTCCCTCCGCTGTCTCAAAGGGTAAGAGATCCCTCTTATTTACAGCTGCAGTGTTCTGAGGTGTAAATGTCTCACAGCTTTTTATCCACTCGTCACTGATGGGCACGAGGCTGTTTCCAGATCTCAGCTATTGTAAACTGTGCTATATGAACATAGGGTCATACATTCTTTACAATTGGTGTTTTGGGTTTCTTAGGATATAGTCCTAGAAGTTGAATTGCTGTGTCAAATGGCAGTTCCATTTTTAATTTTTTTAATATATTTTATTGATTTTGTACAGAGAGGAAGGGAGAGAGATAGAGAGTTAGAAACATCGATGAGAGAGAGTCATCAATCAGCTGCCATACTGGGGATATGCCCGCAACCAAGGTACATGTCCTTGACCGGAATCGAACCCGGGACCTTTCAGTCCCCAAGCCGACGCTCTATCCATTGAGCCAAACCGGTTTCGGCCATTTTTAATTTTTTGATGAAACGCCGTACTGTATTTTTTTCCTCTCTCTCTCTCTTTCTCTCTCTCCTTCCTTCCTTCCTTCCTTCCTTCCTTCCTTCCTTCCTTCCTTCCTTCCTTCCTTCCTTCCTTCCTTCCTTCCTTCCTTCCTTCCTTCCTTCCTTCCAGTTCAGCAGCAGGGAGACTAAGTGTTTGACAAGTACTTTTTAAAAGATATGTTTTTATTCATTTTAGAAAGGAATGGAGAGGGAGACAGAGATAGAAACATCAGTGATGAGAATCATTAATTGGCCACCTCCTGCACACCCCCTACTGGCAATCAAGCCAGACATGTGCTATTGAGTGAAATCAAACCCAGGACTCTGTAGTCCCCAGGCCAACACTCTATCTATTGAGCCAAACTGGCTGCACCAATCTGCATTCCCACCAGCAGTGCACGAGGGTTCCCCTTTCTCCATATCCTCACCAGCATTTGTCATTTGCTGATTTGTTGGTGGAAGCCATTCTGACAGGTGTGAGGTGGTACCTCATTGTAGTTTTGATTTGCATCTCTCTGATGATCAGTGACTCTGAGCATCTTACCTAATAAAAGGGAAACATGCAAATTAACCATCACTCCACTATGCCCACAGCCAGAGTGAGTATGCAAATTAACCCAACAAAGATGGAGGTATATTTGCATATGCAGGTGAGGAGTGGCCAGAGGGGCATGATGCCTGCTATGAAGGGAGGGGGCAGCAGATGGAGCTATAGGAGTGATGCTCTGGCCAGAAGCAAGGACCTGCCAGCTCCTAGGTGGCCAGGGAGTGTGGATGGGCTGCCTCCTGGGAGGCTGGGAGTGAAGCCAGGGGAAGGAAGGCCTATTCTTGCACAAATATCATGCAACAGGCCTCTAGTTTATATATAAAAAAGCTAATATGCAAAGTGTCCCCTTGGGAGTTTGACCAGGAGACCAGGATTTCGATTGGTAAGCTATGATATACACTGACCACTAGGGGGCGGTATGGAACAAAGGAAGGCCAGGGCTGGCAGATGGAAGGAAGGCCCCAGTCAGCCCTGATTGCCTGCCAGGCCTAGGGACCCTATCTGTGCATCGGGCCTCTAGTTTTTTCATATGCCTCTTGGCCATCTGTCTGTCCAATTTGGAGAAATGTCTATTTAGATCATTTGCTCATTTGTTAATAGGATTATTTGTCTTCCTTTTGTTAAATTGTATGAGTTCTTTATATATTTTGGATATTAACCCTTTATCAGAGGTTCTCCCATACAGTGGGCTCCCTTTTCATTTTGTTGATGGTTTATTTTGCTGTGCAGAAGCTTTTTATTTGGATGTAGTCCCATTTGTTTATTTTCTCCTTAGTTTCCTTTGCCCTAGGACCCATAACTATACTGTATCCATAACTATACTGTATCCATAACTATACTGCTATGAGAGCTGCCTGAGATTTTGCTGCCTGTGGTTTCTTCCTGGATTTTTATGGTTTCATGACTTATGTTTAAGTTTTTTTTTTTTTTATCCATTTTGAGTTTATTCTTGTGTATGGTGTAAGTTGGTGGTCTAGTTTCATTTTTTTCCCCATGTATCTGTCCAGATATTCCCAACACCATTTATTGAAGAGACTGTCTTGACTCCATTGTATGCTCTTGCCTCTTCTGTCAGATAGTAACTGAGTGTAATGGCTTGGGTTGGTTTCTGGGGTCTCTGTTTGGTCCATTGGTCTCTCTGTTCTTGTGCCAGAACCAGGCTGTTTTGAGTACAGTGGCTTTGTAGGATAACTTGATATCTGGTATTGCGATCCTCCAACTTTGTTCTTCTTTCTCAAGATCGCTTCAGCTTTTCGGGATCTTTCTTAGTTCCCTATAAATTTTTGGAGTATTTGTTGTAGATCTGTGAAATATCCATTGGTAGTTTAATTCATTGCATTGAATCTATAAGTTACTTTGGGTAGTAAAGACATATTAATGAGGTTAATTTTACCAATCCATGAACATGGTATATTTTGCCACTTGTTTCCTCCTCTATCTCTTTTTTCAATGCCCTGTAGTTTTCTGAGTACAAGTCTTTTACCCCCTTGGTTAAGTTTATTCCTACGTGTCTTGATTTTGTTGTTGTTGTTGTTGCAATGGTAAATGGTCTTGTTCCTATTCTTAAGGGAAACATTTTAAATTTTTGGACATTGAGTATGATGTTGGCTATAGGTTTGTCACATATGACCTTTATTATGTTGAGGTATGATCCCTCTATTCCCACTTTTCTGAGAGTTTAATAAAAAAAATGGGTGATGAATTTTATCAAATGCTATTTCTGCATCTATTGCTATGATCATGTGATTTTTTTCTATTTTGTTTATGTGATGTATCACATTTATTGATTTGTAAATATTGCACTAGCCTTGCATCCTTGGAATAAATCCTGCATGCTCATCATATGTGACCTTTTTAATATATCCGTGGGAGCCTGGCCAGCCCTTTTGCTTCTCTGCCCTTCCTCCCAGTCTCTGTGTGGTCTCCACTTTCCTTGTTTATCAAGGTTCTCTCCAGCTAGTCTTCAGTTGACTATAAGGATGGGTTTTTGTTTTTTGTTTTTGTATTTTAATTTCAGCTTGTTCCTGGGAGTGCTTCTGTGTAGCATCCACTTACTCCACTGCCATTTTTAATCTGTGAAAGCAGTACTTTCCAAAACGTACCATCGCAGAGTCCACTGTATTCCAGACTGACAAGCAAACCCGGAAAAGCGGCTGCGAGTAGCAATATCATCAATATCAGCTAACATCACAAGCCTCACCAGAGAGAAGCAGTTCTAGCCATCACATCAGGGGTGATTTCATTCAATGTTTGACCAAATATAGCAAGCTAATTCTTAAGTTGATAATTCTTATGGCCCATGATGATGCTGTAAATATCCAGCGACTCTGAGCAGAAAAAGGATTGCCCAACCCTGTTCTCGAGGGTGAAATGGACTAAATGGTAAATGCTAGGAGCCGTGACACAGGGTGACAGACATGGGTAACCGAGTTCGGGCTGGGTCCTACTGTGCGCCAGAGGACTGCCCCCAAGGTCCCTGCCAGGACTGTGCAGGGCTTTCCGAGGAGAGCAGGCTCAGGCTGGGCCTTTGGTGGAAGCCGGGTCGGGGCACCCTCAGTATTTGGAGGCCAAGCATTTGAGGTGTCCAGGAGATAACTGCACCCATTCTCTGGATACCCCAACTGCACAAACCTACCCCTGTTTTACAGAGGGCAGCTGAGGCATAGACATGAAGGGGGACACGTGGGTGTGGGAACCTGAGCATCTGTGCCGTCCAAGAAGTAAATACTGAGCTTGAGCCCCCTCCAAGTCCAGCCCCAGCATCCCAAATGAGAGCACGCTAATGGGGGACAGCCAGCCCGGGCAGAGAAGGAATCAGGTATAAAACCAAATGGCTGCTGAGAGGCCCTGCTTTCCTTTCCCCACAGCTCTCCATTTTGTGGAGGGAGGCCTGTGCGTCCGCAGTCTGTGGGCCTGGGGGCTTCCTGGGGTGGGCACAGAGCTGGAAAGGTCAGGTCTGTCACAGAAAGGGAGTGGACTCTGGGGAAGGAGATATTTGTCCAAGGACACCCATTTTACAGACTGGAAAACTGAAGTTCAGTCAGGGTCACACTGATAGACTGGTGGCCCCCTTTTGCAGATGGGGGCCCCAGAGAGGGGAATACCCCACTCAAGTCCATCTTCAGCCTCGGATGCAGGCACTGCCCTCTTTGGCTGATCCCTTTAGGGTGCTAGACATTCACCGACCTTTTGCTTCCAGTTGGTACCCCCATGACCTGACCTTCTATATGACCTTAAGTTAAGGTGACCAGATTTTAACATTGGTAAAGCAGGACATCATTGATGGGGGGGTGGGGGGGTTCTTGATTAAAAATTTGGTCTATATGGAGCAACAAAAATTTTCATAGAATGCAAAAATAGTATTGTAATATATTTCTTTAAATTTCAACATAAGTACAATTTACAAATATAATAAAAATTATGTATAGTATTATTTTATTCTTTGGCACATTTCTCATTTGAGTGAATTTTTTAAGTAGATTGCTGTCATTTAAAAGGTCATGACATTTTTCACAAGAATTTGTTAAATTATATTTCACACATAAAATGGCTTTCAAAGTCTCAACACTTAATTTAACATAAGTCGGGTCACTTTCAAGGCCAGCACTAGACTTTTTGCCGCCACTATAAAATATGAATAATACGAGTACTGTCTGCTAAATTCAAAAAAATTATGTATTTATGAAATAAATAAATAACTTACCTAATTATCTGAATAGCTGATTTGTATGACATCACTTGTTTAGCTTACTAGCACGTATTACGCAGTACGATGTGTATCATGTGTATCATCTGAGTTACAAAATGTTTTCATTGTTGCAAACTTTGATAAGCAGTTCTCCATAATCAGTTCTCAACAATTATTTGTTATTATTAATGTTTAACATTATGCCGAAACCGGTTTGGCTCAGTGGATAGAGCATTGGCCTGCGGATTCAAGGGTCCCGGGTTCGATTCCGGTCAAGGGCATGTACCTTGGTTGCGGGCACATCCCCAGTGGGGGGTGTGCAGGAGGCAGCTGATGGATGTTTCTCACATTGATGTTTCTAACTCTCTTTCTCTCTCTCTCTCCCTTCCTCTCTGTAAAAAATCAATAAAATATATTAAAAAAATAAAAATATTTAAAAAAATAAAGTTTAACATTGTAAAGTTAACAAAAATAATATAAAACTCATATCCTGACTAAATAGACACATGGCCGCCGAAAACTGTATATTCCCTTCCCTTTCTCACCATTCCCAGCCTATCGTGCATTCTGTCCAAAAATCGACTTTTTAAAAACACCACGGGACAAATTGTTAAAAATCTGGGGTCCCTCCAAAAGCGGGACGTCTGGTCACCTTACTTTAAGTCACTTCCTCTCTTAAAGCCTCAGTTTAAAAAAAAAAAAAAAAAAAAAAAAAAAAAAAATATATATATATATATATATATATATATATATATATATATATATATATATATATATATATATTGGTTTAAATTGACTTTTAGAGAGAGGGAGAGAGGAGGAGGAAAACATTGAGGTGAGAGTAACATCCATCAGGCCTCCTGCACGGCCCTGCAGCCCAGGAGCCCAGGCTGCCAGGAGGACCAGTGCGGAGGGTGCCCTGGAGGGTGCGGCGGGCCGGGAGGGAGCCTGGGAGGGTGCGCGGGCTAGGGTGGGTGCGCGGCCGGGGAGCGGCGCCGGCGCGCCCAGAGGCGGCCTCGGGCTGGGGGCGTGGCTAGAGCAAGGGGCGGGGCCAAGGGCTGGAGAATCCCTGCCTGCGGGCCTGGACCGTGAGGACTGTTCAGGGCGAGGGCGGGACGTCGCCGTGGGGGCGGGGTTTGGAGGGGAGGGCGGGGCTTAGAGCTTTGGGCGGGACGCGGCCTAGGACGCCCTGTCAGCTGGGGCGGGGCTAAGGCTCCGGCGGCCTCTTAGCTAGCGCTAAGGCGGGTGAGGGGCGGGGTTAGGGGCCAGGGGCGGGCCTAACGGGAATGCCGGGCCTCATGAGGGCGGGGTTAGGGTTGTGCGAGCGACGTTGCGACGCTGGGGCGGGGCCGTCGGGAGGGCCGGCCTCCTGGGCGGTGGGCGGAGGTCAGCGGGGGTGAGGGCGGCCGCGGCGCGGAAGGACGGGGCTGCGGGGAACAGGTCGGTGCCGCCGGGCGCCGCTGCGGACAGCATGACAGGTGAGCGTGGGCTGCGGTCCTGCCTGCAGCCCCGGGTCGGGCACGCGACGCTGGTGGTCTCGCGCGCCCGCTGCCCCCGGTCGCCCTGGGGGCCGCTCCGCGCCTCGCCCCAGTGACCTTGTCCGTGACGTGACCGCGAGCCTGTGACCACCTTCCCGCTCGGCGGCGCTACGGGGGCCGAGGGCGTGGTCAGGCCTGGAGGGCTGGGCGGGCCAGGGCTCCCTGGGGCGAGGCGGCGCTGGGTGAGGATGCCCCCCCGGAGGGAGGTGAGCTCTGGGTCCCGCTGTGCTTCCGGGGGCGTGGCGGCTCCCCGGCTGCCCCCTGGGCCGCGCGGCGCGGCGCTCCAGGCTGTGGGACCAGAGACTGGCACCCCCTGCGCTGTCCTAGCAGCGCAGGGACAGGGTGAGCAATTGGGGCTAAGCCTCTAGCAACTGCCCCCTCCTCCCGTAGCTCTGAACCCGAGCGCTCAACTCACTCCGGACCTAGCGAGCAGGGCCACGCTGCTCTGTGGACCCTCCCAGGTGGAGAAGCCCCAAGGGGCCATGCAGTCCCATGCAGAGTGGTCAGGGAATGTGGGGCTCCCAGGAGTCACACCTCATCCCTGAGGGCCCATCTTCTGCCTCATGGGACAGCAGTCACCTGGGGGTGCACCAGGGGGTCAGGCAGGCCCAGAAGTCCCCTTCCTTTCCCCCCAGAACTCACTGAGTCTCAGAATGGATCCTGCACACACAGGACTTCCTGGGCTGGAACCTGGTGACTTCCGGGATGCCAAGCCCATTCTAGGCCGGAAGGGAGCCAGCTGTCACCTGCTCCTCCCCATCATTCCTCTGAACCCGTTACTTTCGGAGCACCCAACATGCTCTTGGCCCCGCAGTGGGCCCTGGCCATCGGAAGCACTGTGGGGACGTGGGACAGTGTCTGTGTGGGTTCAGATTAGGCAGAGACCAAGTGCCCGCGGCAGAACCGGGACTAGAGCCGGGTCCTCCCCTCACCCTTCTCCCGCCGTCTGTGTGTGCTGGACTTGGCCCTCTCCACCCAGCCCTTCTGTCTGGGGCGGGGAACTGCGAGCACAGCCTGGAGCATCCATGGGCAGCCCCGCCTGGCTGTGGCCTGTCCTCCGTGGCCCACGCCCTGTGCGCTGACCAGCCTGCCTGCTGGTCCCGGCCTCCGGGAGGGCTGTGGAGTGAGTGTGGGGCCCGCGCGTCTGCACGGGACTCGGTGTGCCTCGGCGGGTGCCGGTGCCGTCCGGTGGCTGTGGGGTCAGGCCTGCCGTGTGGTGTGCTAGAGAGTGAGCAATCTCAGCTCAGCTCTTTGGTGCCCAAGGCCAGGTGGGACCCTGAGACAGGAGGGAATCCTGGGAGATTCCATTGGGGAGGGGAGGCTGAAGCGTGTGGGTATCTGAATGTGTGGGGCAAGGCCTGGGGGCGGGACGGGGGCAGTGGGTGCCCGGCGGTGTGGTGTGGTGTGGTGCGGCTGGGGCTGCCATGCGGGAGGCGCAGGGGCTGGGGGCCAGGTGAGAGCAGGGGGGCGGCTCCCGCCAGGCCGCTAGTACAGGCGGTGTAACGGGTCTGGAGTTCTAGTGCCCGCGGGGCACGGAGGTGGGGCCTGGCAGAGGGAGCTGGCAAAACCTGGGGGGTTTGTACCAGAGCATTTTTCCTCCTTTATCCTGTAAAGCCACCTGGCTGTGTGTCAGGACCCAGACCACAGTGGTTTCCTGTTCCGGACCTTTCCGTGCCTCCGAGGCCGCCTGGTGTGGTTTGTGCAGTGTACGGCAGCCACAGGGAGCAGCAGAGCCTGCGGCCCCCTCCCACGCCGGCCCCCCCCACGCCGGGCCCCCCCACGCCGGGCCCCTCCCACGCCGGGCCCCTCCCACGCCGGCCCCCCCCACGCCGGGCCCCTCGCACGCCGGCCCCTCCCACGCCGGGCCCCTCCCACGCCGGGCCCCTCCCACGCCGGGCCCTGTGCCAGTGGTTCCCGGGCAGCGGCCCACCTGGCTGTTGGCCCGGGGCTAGAGGAGCTGCTGCAGGCGCCGGCTTTGGTGACCGACCGGCGCCCGTTCACCGGGTTCTGGTGGGTGGCTGCCGGGCGGCGCGCACAGGTGCACAGGCTGGGCAGGAGGCTGGGCAGGAGGCTGGGCCGCTGAGCAGCAGACAAGACACAGCTGAGGGCACGGCTCGTTCGGGTCGCAGTCACTTAACGGGCAGAGATTCTGGATGTCGAGAGGTGGTGGGTCCACCTGATCCATCACTCCCTCCTTGCTGTGCCTCGGTTTCCCTGGCTGACATCAGGGGAGGGTGTGCTCGCACCGCTCCAAGGACCAGACGGTCTGTCCGTAGAACGCGCACTCGGAGCCTCGGGCCTGGCGATGGAGCCGGGGGCCCTGGCGCTCCCGGGCCGGCAGGCCCCCGCAGCCTGTGCCGCTCCCTCACTGCGATGGGGCTGCTGGCGTGTGTTCAGGCAGATTTCGGGGCTGGGAGAATTTAGAAGCTAGGACTTGTTTTCTAGGGTAAAAAGGACCAGTGAAAGCGGGCACTGGGAGAGCAAGAGGAGGAAGACAAATGGTCTGCTTGTCAGCCCCACAGAGGGAAATGGGGAGGAGACCCACTTGGTCCAACGTGGTGACCCCGTTTTTATTTTTATTTTTTATTTTTTAAATATATGTTGTTGATTTTTTACAGAGAGGAAAGGAGAGAGATAGAAAGTTAGAAACATCGATGAGAGAGTGACATCGATCAGCTGCCTCCTGCACACCTCCTACTGGGGATGTGCCCGCAACCAAGGTATGTGCCCTTGGCCGGAATCGAACCTGGGACCCTTCAGTCCGCACGCAGGCTGACGCTCTATCCACTGAGCCAAACCGGTTTTGGCGTGACCCCGTTTTAAAAACCTCCTTTACTGGGTATAAATTTCTTATAAGGAAATGATTGTTTTTAGTGAATGATTGATACGTTTGGACAAGTGTGTGCACATGGGACGACCATGCGGCCCGTCACACCTCCGTCATCTCCGTCACACCGCCGGTGTGCGTGCTCCGTCCCGCATCTGCCCGCCGGGGCACCTGCCTGCTTTAAATTCAGCATTTCCCACTGGGGTTTCTCTTAATTACTAGCTTTGTTTCAGAGCAGTTTTAGTTCATAGAAAATTGAGCAAATAGTACAGAGGCTCCGCCCCTCCCACTTCAGCACCCAGGATTGTTGACATCCTGCACCAGTCTGTGCATTTTTGGCACTTGATAACCCAATTTCATAGATTAGTGCTAACTGTCGTTTACGTGAGGGTTCACTCCTGTGCTGCACATTCTACGGTTTTGGACAATGTCAGATGTCCTGTGTCCACCATCATTGTCACACCGAGCAGCGCCTCTGCCCTGAAACCCTTGGCTCATCCGTCCACCACTCCCTTCCCCTGACTCTGCAGCCGCCAAGTTTTCCTGCCTCCATGGCTTTGCATTTTCTGTTGGAATCGTGCAGTGTGCAGTCTTTTCAATTAGCGTCTTTCACTTTGAGAAATATGCATTTGTTCCTCCTCATCTTTTCATGACTCCATAGGTATTTTATCACCAAGTTATAACCACAGTTTAAATAACCATTCACTTTTTTTTGTTATACCACTTAAACAGCATTTCAGTGGCATTATATATTCACACTGTTGTGAAACCATCACCGCTGTCCATTTCTAGAACTTTTTTTATCAAGCAGAAACTCTCTCCCCAATAAACAGTAACACCCCTTTCTTCCATGCCCGGCTCCTGAGGTTACTTTCTCTTTCTAGAGTTTGCCTGTTCCAGATATGTCACATACATGGAGTCACACATGTTTGCCCTTCAGTGTCTGACTTATTTAGACTTAGCATAATGTTCTAGTGTCCACCCACAGCAGGCATCAGCATCTCCTTCCTTCTAAGGCCACATTCTGTTTACTCATTCCTCCATTAGCTGTTGCACCTTTTGGCTATTGTGAATAATGCTACTCTGAACATGGATGTTTATTAATTATCTTTTTCCTTTTTATTCATTTGTTGATTTTAGAGAGAGAAAGGAAGAGGGAAAGAGAGAGAGAGACATCAATTGGTGGTTCTACTTTTTTATGTAATCATTGGTTGACTCCTGTGTGTGCCTGATTTGGTGTATCGCGATGGCACTCTACCCAACTGAGCTGCCTGGCCAGGGCTAAATTCTTTTAGTCTATACCTAGAAGTGGAATTGCTCAATTATATGACAATTCTGTGTTTAGCTTTTTTATCATACCCTTTTCCCACAGTGGCTCCCCATTTTACATGCCCGCCAGCAATGCATGAGAATTCCAATTTTTATATTTTCATTCTCCACATGTATATATCACACTGAATTCAGCAGCACATTAAAGGAGAATGCAAGGATAATCACCCTAATAATATGAACTGATATCTCATTGTGGTTTGATTTGCATTTCTCTAATGACTAATGATAGAGCAACTTTTCATGCGATAAGTACCCACTTGTAGATATATCTTTGGAGAAATTCCTATTCGAATACTATGCCTATTTTTTAATTGTATTGTTTATGTTTTTGTTGTCATTGGGTTTTATAAGTTCTTTATATGTTTTGAATATCATTCCCTCATTAGATATATGCTTTACAGGTATTTTCCTCCGATTCTGTGCGTTATCTTTTTCACTCTCTGTTTTTTTCCACTCAAAATACTATTTATTTCTGGACTCTATTCTAGTCCATTGGTCTATATGTCTGTCTCTATGCCACCAACACGCTGTTTTGACTCTTGTAGCTTTTAAGTAAGTTTTGAAATTAGGAGGTGTGAGTCCTCCGACTTTGTTATTTTTCAGTATTGTTTTTGATATGAAGGTTTCTTGATATATGAATTCTAGGATGCTTTTTCTGTTTCCACAAAAAATCACGATTGGGATTAAGGTTGGGGTTATATTGAATTTGCAGATCCCTTTGGGTAGTGTCATCATCTTCACAATATTAAGTCTTCTAATCTATGAACATGGGATATCTTTTCATTTATTTATGTCTTATTTCACTTCATTCAGCAATTCTTTTTGTAATTTTCAGTGTACCAGTCTTTCACCTCACTGGTTAAACTTATTCCTTAGTATTCTATTCTTTTTTATACTACTATAAATTGAATTGTGTTATTTTTTATTTTTCACTATTAGTGTATAAAAAAGCTCAACTGGTTTTGTGTGTGTTGATTTTATATCTTGCACCTTTGCTGTGAATATATTAGTTCTAAGAGGTGTCTTTTTAAAAAACATTGGGGTTTTCTATATATAAGATCATGTCATCTGCAAACAGAGATAATTTTACTTCTTCCTTTCCAAATGAATGCTTCCCCCCCCCCCTTTCTTGCCTAATTTCTCTGATGAGGACTTTTATTTTATTATTTGAATAAAAAATAGTGAGAGTGGGTATCCTTGTCTTATTTCTTATCTTAAAGGAAAAGCTTTAGTCTTTCATGATGCTCTAGACTTTTCCTATATGACCTTTATATGTTGAGAAACCTCTTCTATTTCTAATGTATTGATTTTTTTTAAATCAAGAAAGTGTATTAAATTTTGTCAAATTGTTTTTTGCATCACTTGAGATGATCTTTGGTTTTTCTTCTATTACTGTGATCTATTATAGTAATGGTTTTCATATGTTGAACCATTCTTGCATTCTTGGAATGAATTTTTTTTTCAAATACATATATTTTTATTGATTTCAGAGAGGACAGGAGAGGGAGAGAGAGATAGGAACATCAATGACAAGAGAGAATCATTGATTGGCTGCCCCTAGCACACCGCCTCCTGGGGATCGACCTTCTGGTTCATAGGTTGACGCTCAACCACCGAGCCATGCCACTGTGCCTGGAATAAATTCTTTTACCATGCTGCTGAATTAAATTGGCTAGTATTTTGCTGAGGCTTTTACATCAGCATTCATAAGCAATATTAGTCTGTAGCTTCCTTGTAGTGTCTTTGTCTGGCTTTGGTATCAGAGTAAGACTGGATGGACTTTGCTACCAAAGCCAGAGTGGAGTGTTCCTTTTCTCCAGTTTTTGGGAGTTTGAGAGGGACTGGTGCTAGTTCTTTAAATGTTGGTGGAATTCACCAGTGAAGCTGTCTGCTCCTGGGCTTTTACTTGCTGGAACAATTTTGATTACTGATTTACTGTTACACATCTATTCAGACTTTCTGTTTTTTCATGAGTTAGCTTTGGTAGATTGTGTGTTTTTAGGAATTTGTTCATTTCATCTAGATTGTCCAGTTTGTTGTCATTCAGATGTTTATAGTGCTCTATTATAAGCTGTCCCCCCGCCCCACCTCCTGTAAAATTAGTAGTAAATTCTGCTGTTAGTAATTTGAGTCTTTTTGTTATTGTTGTTAGTTTGGCTAAAGGTCTATCAATTTTGTTGATTTTTTTTTTACTATTTTTTTCTCTATTTAATTTACCCTCACTAATATTTTTTAAATATATATATTTTTATTGATTTCAGAGAGAGGAAGGGAGAGGGAGAGAGAGAAAGAAACATCACAAGAGAAAATCATTTATCTGCTGCCTCCTGCACTATTTGGGGATCGAGTCCAAAACCAGGCATGCGCCTTGACTGGAATCGAACTGTGATCTCCTGGCTCATAGGTCGGTGCTCAAACAACTGAGCCGCACCAGCTGGCTGCACCCTCATCTTCATTATTTCCTTCCTCCTGCCTCTCTGGGTTTAGTTTGCTCTTTTTTTTTTTTTAGTTTCCTGAAGCTTTAGGTTATGGAGTTAAGATATTTCTTCTATAAACTCCCCCCTCAGCACTGCTTTTACTGCATCCCTTAAGTTTTGATAAGCTGTGGGGGGTTTTCATTTGTTTCAAGGTATTTTCTAATTTCCCTTGAGACTTCTTTGATTTGTTGGTTATTTTATTTTCACATACTTGTAAATTTTTCAGTGTTCCTTCTGTTATTGATTTCTAGCTTTATTCCCTGTGATCAGAAAGATCCTTTGTATAATTTAAATATTTTTAAATCAATTAAGACTTGTTTTGTGGCCAAACTTGTTTTGACGTCTACCTTGGAGAATGTGCATGTGCACTCGAGGAGAGCAGATATTCTGTTGTTGTGTGTTGGGGTGCTGTTTGTATGTGTAAGGACTTTTTGCCTGGACGGTTTTGCTCATAGTCAGAGCAGAAGGGTCGTGGGTTCGGTCAGGGCACATACTTCGGTTGCAGGTTCTCCAGTCCCAGAGACAACCAATCCATGTGTCTCTCTCATGTCTATGTTCCCCCCCCATCCATGCCCTCCCCCCGCCCTCCCCTTGCCTTTCACTCTCTAGAAATCAATGGAAAAAAATATCCTTGGGTGATGATTAAAGAAAAAGAAAAATTTCAGGGTTTCAGGAACTGTGTGCCAGGAAGCAGGACAAAGACCAAATATATATTTCTTATTATAACATTACAGATCCACTTTGCCAGTCTCTGCTTTGATTGGACAGTTTATTTAGATGTAAAGCAATTACTGATGTAAATAACTGTTTCTGCCTCGGCTATTTCTTTTCTGTGTGTCTTGTAGCTCTTTTGTCCTTCAGCGGCTGCCATCTTTGTGTCTAGTTGGCTTTTGTAGTAACAATACAGTGTGGCTGTTTTCTTTGTGGTTACCATGAGATCATACATACCCTCCTAAACTTACAACAATCTGATTTGAATTGGTACCAACTTCACTCCAATCACATACAAAAACTCTCCTGTCCAGCTCTGCCCGCCCCCCAGCCCGTGCCCACTGGGGAACGGGACCAGCTGGCACAGGCCGGTAAGTGAGGTGGTGTGTCTGTCCAGGCAGCTGGCTCTCAGGGACTCAGCGTCCTCCCCGGGAGACCCTGTGCCCCCGCCAGCCTGCGCCCCACCTTCGTCTTCGGCTGTTGTTGAGAAGAATGTCCTTATGGAGAGAAGGTGCAGCAGTGATGTTTGAATGGTGATTCTGGAAGAAAAGACAAAAGCAGCAGCCTTCCCTGGCACCGGGCAGCACGCGGCCCCTGCGGCAGGCTGGGGCGATGCCGTCTTCCTGCCACCGCCCCGAGCCTGCGCTCTGCCCGGCACATGGAGCTGTGAGCTGTGGGTCGGGCCTCGCCCAGGCTGCCCGAGCCCTTCCCAGGCCTGGCTGTCTCCAGCGAGCTTGGTGGGGGCTCGGGAGCAGCCGGCTCTTAGCCCTGAGTTTGTTTTCCGAGAAGAGAGGGCAGAGGCTCCGTCCCGCACTCCGGACAGCCCTCACTGCCCACCGCCCGCCTTCAGGCCCAGGGGGGCAGGACAGGGAGGGCTGGCTGTCCTGAGGCCACGCAGGCCGGGAGTCAGCGTTGTCCCGGTGCTTATAAGGCGTGCCTCCCTGGCCGGGGGCCGGCTGGGGGTTTGTGCCGAGGCTGCACTCGGTGGTGGGCCCGCTGGCTGAGGCCCTGCCTGCTCTCTGCCTGTTTCAGAGCAGACCTACTGTGACCGGCTGGTGCAGGACACGCCTTTCCTGCTGGGCCCCGGGCGCCTGAGCGAGCAGCAGGTGGACAGGATCATCCTGCAGCTGAACCGCTACTGCCCCCAGATCCTCAGCAACAAGGACGCGGAAAAGGTGAGGGGCGGGCCGGCCTCTTTGGGGTGACCTTGGACCCGGGGCTGGAAGGGTCACAGGAGACATGTGACAACACGCCACAACGTAACATCCCTGGGAGCGGGAAACGGGGGAGAGGGGGTGGCTTCCGAAAGGTCGTACGGGAAGCATGTTAGATGTCCCCTGGCCCAGCTGTCTGTGGACACTGGAGAGAGTGGGTGATCTTTTCCGCTATCCCTGCTTCTCTGCTCCCGCCAGGGACCAGCCAGGGCGTTGGGGTGCAGAGTCGCCACCCGCTGGGTGACGGGGCTCAGCCTCGGCACAGGCACACGGGCCTCTCCTGGCAGGGACTGGCCTGGAAGTAGCACAGGACGTGAAAACGGAGGAGCCCACTTTTGCATTGTGCTGCCGAAATGAAAACTCTGATGCACATTCACTGTAAAACCGGCTGAACGGTTTCCCATGTCTGTACAGGAAAAGGGACACTCAGGCCTGCACTTAGCTCCCCATTGTGTCCATGTAGAAAGGTATTCCGCCACTAGGTGGCAGCACCAGGCCACCGCCTCCCGCTCCTGGAGGTCACTGCCACGTCCCTGTCCACTGGCCCTCCTCAGACGCACACATTTCTCCATCAGACACATCAGAGGAGCCGATTCTTTTCTCCTTCCGCCTTTTTAAAGGCTCGCATCAGATTCCTGTAGGACGAACTGCTGACGTTGTGCTGTCACCAGAGCCCTGCAGGGGGTTCCGCACTCCCTTTTCACCAGGAGCGCGGTGTCTCCGTTTGCCGAGTTTCCACACAGCTCCTGTCCCTGCCGCCTTCCGTGGTGGCTGGTCTCCCGGTCCCGGGAGTGCGGGGACCAGCCGTGCTGTGATGGGGGCCGTGGTTCCGTCACTCTCCACCGGGCGTTCGGAGGCACCTCCCAGGAGAGAGGGGAGCCAGCAGGGAGGAGGGCGGGCACAGCCCCGTGACCACCCTCTGTGCCCTCTGCCAGTTCCGGAACCCCAGGGCGTCCCTGCGCGTCCGGCTCTGTGACCTGCTGGGCCACCTGCAGCGGAGCAGCGAGCGGGACTGCCAGGAGTTCTACCGCGCCCTCTACATCCACGCGCAGCCCCTGCATGGCAGCCTGCCCAGCCGGCACAGCGGGCGTGAGTGCACCCGGCCTCGCCAGGCCCTCCCGCCATCTCCTCCCTGGTCCCAGGCCCTCCCGCCATCTCCTCCCTGGTCCCAGGCCCTCCCGCCATCTCCTCCCTGGTCTCAGGCCCTCCCGCCATCTCCTCCCTGGTCCCAGGCCCTCCCGCCATCTCCTCCCTGGTCCCAGGCCCTCCCGCCCATCTCCTCCCTGGTCCCAGACCCTCCCGCCCATCTCCTCTCTGGTCCCAGGCCCTCCCGCCCATCTCCTCCCTGGTCCCAGGCCCTCCTGCCCATCTCCTCTCTGGTCCCAGGCCCTCCCGCCCATCTCCTCCCTGGTCCCAGACCCTCCCGCCCATCTCCTCTCTGGTCCCAGGCCCTCCCGCCATCTCCTCCCTGGTCCCAGGCCCTCCCGCCATCTCCTCCCTGGTCCCAGGCCCTCCCGCCATCTCCTCCCTGGTCCCAGGCCCTCCCGCCCATCTCCTCTCTGGTCCCAGACCCTCCTGCCCATCTCCTCTCTGGTCCCAGGCCCTCCCGCCCATCTCCTCTCTGGTCCCAGGCCCTCCCGCCCATCTCCTCCCTGGTCCCAGGCCCTCCTGCCCATCTCCTCCTTGGTCCCAGACCCTCCTGCCCATCTCCTCTCTGGTCCCAGGCCTTCCCGCCCATCTCCTCTCTGGTCCCAGACCCTCCTGCCCATCTCCTCTCTGGTCCCAGGCCCTCCCGCCCATCTCCTCTCTGGTCCCAGACCCTCCTGCCCATCTCCTCTCTGGTCCCAGGCCCTCCCGCCCATCTCCTCCTTGGTCCCAGACCCTCCTGCCCATCTCCTCTCTGGTCCCAGGCCCTCCCGCCCATCTCCTCCCTGGTCCCAGGCCCTCCCGCCCATCTCCTCTCTGGTCCCAGGCGGAGGGAGGGTGAAAGCCACACAGATGTCCGTCTTCCTGTTTCTGCCTCAGTCTCTTTCTTTTGTGCCAGTTTTTACACAAAAGGCAGCACCTGCCTCCTCCACCTGTAACCCTGTGGGCACCCTCCCCTTTCTGCGGGAGCTGGCCCGGTGCCGTGCTGGGCCCCTGTGGCCGCCCGGCACAGGTGGGGCGCGCAGGTGGACACCGCCCAGGCCTGAAGCCTCCGCACCAGGCCCAGGAAGAGGGGCCACTGTCCGTGCTTTAGAGTCAGAGGCCCAGGGATGGGGTGGCGTCTGCCCATGGCGGGCCCACAGCACCCACAGTGCCGCCCGCCAGCCGTGGCACCCCCCCGGCCCCGCGGCCCGGCTCACGGGTGCCCTCAGGGTGTCTGGCAGGTGGCCACTTGGGGCGGCCTGGGAGAGAGCACCTGCTGGCGTGGGCATCGTCAGACCTTTGACAGGCACCTCAAGGTCACGGGGAACAGTGACCCCTTCATGACCCCCAGAAATGGACAGGAGACCCCCAACTGTGCAGGGTCCCTTCCCTGGCGCCAACTCCACCAAGCGGGCCGAGGTCCAGGAGCAGCACACCTGGTCCAGCTCCGCGGGGCCGGGTCGGGGGCGAGGGACTTTGGCAGCCCCTTGGCCTCCTGTGGCTGGCAACTCCTTTCCTCTCTGCCCCACCAACCGCGCCCTCTGCTTCCGTTTCCAGAGAACTCCGACCTGGACTTGGGCACCACCAGCCACGCACTCAGCGACAGGGGTAACCGCCCCCCCCCCAGGGCTCCCCCCACGGCCTCCCCCCATCGGGGCTCCCTCCACTGGGCTCCCCCCACCGGGCTCCCCCCATTAGGGCTCCCCCCACCGGGCTCCCCCCATGGTGGGCTGTCCCTCGGGCCAAGGACTGGCCCGTCTTAGAGGTGCGAGAGCCGCTCCCCTTGCTCCCCCAGGACCCATGGCCTTCCTGGCCTGCCTCGGCCTGGCCGCCGGGCTGGCCCTCCTCGTCTACTGCTGCCCTCCAGGTGGGTGCCCTCCAGGTGGGTGCCCTCCAGGTGGGTGCCTGCTCAGCCTGCAGGAGGGCCCTGCAGCGGGACAGTGGCCGGCTGAGGGGGACGGGGTGGGGACCCCAATCCCTACACTTGGCCCTCAGTGACCCCTCCAGGGTCAGAGAATGAAGCCCCTTTGGGAGGAGGGGTGCATGAAGCAGGGTCAGGGGTCAGAAAGCCCTGTCTGCGTGGGGCCCGGGGGCCCCTCCAGTGTCATGGCCGTGACGGTGGGGTGAGGCCCCCACGGCGTCCCTGCCGCTGCCTGTGGCGTGTGGAGATTGCCGGCCTCTCGGCGCGGCGACCAGCATCCCGGGTGCGGCTGGCAGTGCCCAGAGGCCCTGAGACCCCGTGTGCTCCAGACCCCAAGGTGCCGCCCGCGGCCCGGCGCGTCCTGGGCTTCTCGCCACTCATCATGGACAGACACGTCAGCCGCTTCCTGCTGGCCTTCCTGGCGGCCGAGCAGGGCGGCCTCTGACGACCAGCCCTCCGCCCGCCGGCCTCCCTCTCCTGAAGGCCGGCCGGCTCTCCGGTCCCTGCGAAGGCACCTCCTCTGGCCAGGGTCCCGGTGATTAAACGTGGGAGTCCCCTCCCTTCTCAGGAGTGCTTCTGGGTGACCCTGACTGAGGCCCTGCTTCCTCGCCCGCCCAGACACCCACTGCCCTGCCACGTGCCCTGCGCATCCCCCACCACCCTCCTCCCGCTGCTCCCCGAGCTCCACGCCCTCACCCACGCCTCCGCCGCCGCCTGCCCCGCCCCCGCCCGGGCTAGGAGCTCTCCCCGCCTCTGTGCCCCCTGCCCGGGCTAGGAGCTCTCCCCGCCGCCTGTGCCCCCTCCCCGGCTAGGAGCTCTCCCCGCCTCTGTGCCCCCGTCCGGGCGGGGGGCCCTGCGGCTGGGCCACGGTGCGGAGCGAGGCTGAGGTGGAGGCTGGTCAGCCACGAAAGAGGACCCGACACGTGGCGGCAGGCTGAGCCACATTTCTGCGCGCCCCCCACCCCCGCCTGTCCCCAGGAGACCCGCTGCCTTCCGGGGCCTGCTGGCCCCACAGGCACCGAGGGACAGCGCCCTTCATCCCCACCCACTCGGGAGGGGACGGAGGTAGCAGTGGCTTGGAGCCTGGAAACAAACACCACGTCTTGTCCGGATCCCAGGAGAAAGAGAATCCAGACTGCAAACAGCCCAAGGAACATTCTAGAAGTTTTAGAGATGAAAACCACCATTGTGCTTCCCCAGGTCCTGAGCTCTGGCTCCTTAAGCCCTGGATCAGCTGCTGCAGTTTGGCACTGCTGTTCCTCTTCCTCCTCAGCGCGTGGCCCCTGCCCAGGTGCTGCCGCGCCCCCCTCCTGCCTCTTACCCCCCCCCCCCCCCCCCGACACCTGCCTCCCCGCCTCCTCTGGCTCACGCTGGGGGAGCAGCTCATGCCTGAGGGTGAGCAGCGCGTGTGGGCCCAGCGCTGCTCCCGGCACTCACTGCTGCGGGCACGCTGGCTCCCCGTGGGCCTGATGGGCGCCCCTCTGACAAGTGGGGGTCGGAGCCAAGCACCACACTGAAGCCAAGAGTGGGGCTCCACTGCCCTCCCGGGCGTGCAGGGCACAGACACAGGCAGACACACATGCAGGCCACACGCAAACACATGCACAGCTCTTCTGTACACGTGCACACGCATGGAGAGCAGGCTGCAGGCCTTGGCCTGGCCCGATGGGTCCTCCTGTGATTGTCTCCCTCTTGCCCCCCCCCGCCAATTGGGGAAACAGAAGCATATTTGTCAACTCAGGAATCATGAGTTTGGGTTTTCCACGGACGTTTCCGGAGGCACGAGGCACAGAGGAACCAGCTCCAGGACACGGGGTCTGCCCTCAGGAAGTGGGTGCAGGGGCCCTCCCCGTGCCAGGCAGCCAGGACAGTGGCTGGCCACTCGCTCCACCGCTCGGGGCTGGGAACGGGGCACCTGCAGGTGGGCACCTCGGCACACTGCCCGGCCAAGCTGTCCCTGCGCATCCCCCCATGGACCACCTCACTGGGCACGAGGCCCAGGCAGCTTTCTGTGGCAGCGAGAGCAGTTATTGCCCCAGGGGGCAGGTGGGCGAGGGGATGCCTCTGGGCCTGGCTCAGGGTCAGGGTGGAGGCCGCAGTGAGCCTGCCACCCCCTCCCCAATGGGAAGATGTGTGGCGCTCCAGCCCCACGTGAGCCGTCTCCCATCGCCCCAGAGGCCCAGAGCGAGACGGGACTAGTGCCTGTGCCACTTCCGGGAGCTGGGCGGGGGCTGCGCAGGTCTCAGGCCAGCAGACCCTGCGCTCAGCCTGGCACAGCCTGTCCACCTGCAGCTTCTCCCACCATGGCCCGGCAAGGTCCTGGTTCCTGGGTGGAGGTCTGCGGATGAAGGGGAGTGTCCATGCTTTCCTGTGCCCTGAGACAGCTGGGGAAGGAGATGGGCAGACAGCTGGGGAAGGTGACGGGCAGACAGCTGGGGAAGGTGACAGCTGGGGAAGGTGACGGGCAGACAGCTGGGGAAGGTGACAGCTGGGGAAGGTGACGGACAGACAGCTGGGGAAGGTGACAGCTGGGGAAGGTGATGGACAGACAGCTGGGGAAGGTGACAGCTGGGGAAGGTGACGGATGCCATGTCCATGTGAAGGTGACTGACAGAGATGGCAAGGGGAAGGGGCAGAGGCCCCGAGGAACAGGGACAGAGACTCTGAGGGGCAAGGACAGAGGCCCCAGGGGACAGGGTCAGAGGGCAGAGGCTGCAGGGGGCAAGGGGCTGAGGCCCCAGTGTCAAAGGGGAGAGGGCAGAGGCTGCAGGGGGCATGGGGCAGACAGCTGTCTGCAGGCTGCAGACTGAGAAATGAGAACCTAGGTCTAAGCTGCCCAGGCTGTGGACTCCATCACAGTAGCCTGGACGGACAGAGGCAGGTCTGACAGACAAGGGGCCCAGCTGCCCCTCACCTCAGGCCCACGAGGCCCACAGGTTCCTTCCTGTGTGAGGCATGCTCAGTGCTGTCCCAGGGCTGGACTTCCTGGGAGCTGTGAGGCCGGGTGCTTGTCTCTGGCTGGGCTGGACCACTTCCTGGGACTCCTGACTTTTCCTTGTATCCACGGCCCCAGCCCTGCCTTCAAGGCCCCAGCCCACCCTGGAGCCCAGGAGCCTTGGAGCTTCCTCAGTTCTCGGCCCGGCGGCCCTTCCCCGTGGGCCTACCCCTGCCCGGAGCTGATGGAGCGGCCTGGCCCCCTGGCTGGGGCCCAGGGAGGAGAAGGGGCAGCCGTGCCAGGGCCCCGCTGCCCGCCCTCTTGTCACTCAGCGCTCGTGACCGGGGTGAGTGAGGCCGTCCGGCACGGAGACCACAGGCCAGCCCTTCCTGTTGATGCGCCCACACGACCTCACTATGTCCCCACTTCCCAGCCACAGGCTGGTGACGGACAGGCTCGTGACCGCACCTCTGCACCTGTGGACAAGCTGTCCCCTTGCCTGGAGCACTCCCTACTGTTCCCCAGCCCCCCTACTCCCACTCCGGCCCTGCAAAGTGCCTCCTCCTCCAGGAAGCCCTGCCCACTGTCCAGGTGCCGCACGGCGTTCACTGCACAGACCACACGTGCAACGGCCATAGATCTGACCGGAGCCTCAAGTTCCTCTCGCCTGGAGCGTCGTAGGCAGGCCTCACTCACGGGCCGGCTGCGGGTCATAGAACACGTGCAGCACGTGCAGCTGTGCACAGGATGTAGTCTCTGATAATAATGTAACTGTTACTGCGTGTATGTTCACCATTCATACATCTTCTCAGGCCTGGTGCACGAAATTCTGTGTGGGTGACCATCCGTAGGCCCGGCCTGCTGTCAGCCCATCTCCCCCCACTGCCTACAGCCAGCCCGCCCCCCACTGCCACCCACCCCTGGCTCCCCCTTCGCCGGCAGCGATCAGAGCCTGCCGGCCCGGGCAGAGGGACCGAGAGGTGGTCAGTGCGCCTCCTAGTGACTGGCCAAGTGGTCGTTCTAAGGTCGTTCTGCCGTTCGGGTCAATTTGCATATTACCCTTTTATTATATAGGGTTGTAGCGGACCTCTGCCCTGTTTCTACTTATAAAAGAAAAAGGCTGCTGTAAACAGTAAGCCAAGCTACGCCGGCCGCAGCCCGTGCATCTCGTTCACTGCGTCCCGAGCACATCATTTTCTCTGGCGCTCCATTTATTCTCATGTTTTGTTCATTGTGGCCGCTCAGCAAGCAGGTCCACCGCCGAAGCAGTGAGGGACACTGAGTGACGCCTGGGAGGAAGGTAGAGATAATGAGCAAGGTTGCAAAGGTCGAGAGCCAGGCCACTGCTCGCCAGGCGGCGGCGCCTCAGCCACGATCTGGAACTGAGCAGAGACAGAGCTTCCAAGCATCTGCTCCCTGACGCGGGGGGCCCACGGGACCACTCGGGAGTCTGCACTCACTCCCCGGGAGCAAGAGCGAGAGCGAGGGGTGCGCTGCGAGGCGCTGGCGTCGGGGAGCTGGTGAAGAGAAGGGAGCTGCAGAGAACCTGATGGTGAAGGAAGGACCAGAGCTCTGCCCTGTGGACGGAGCCGCCCTCCTGGAGGCGCCGGGAGCACTGGATGCGGGAGGCCGCAGCGCCAGGCCCGGCTTCTGGGAGCAGAGAACAGTCTTGCTGGGGCCACGGCGGGGCCCCAATGGAGACTGTGTGTCTGGCACCGTGAGACCCGCCTTCACGCGTGTCAGGGACACGCACACCCGTGCCCCGCAGAGCAGTGAGCCTCCTGTGGCCGGCTCCCCCCAGAGGCCCCTCACGTCCAGGCTGCGCCGTGTGGGGGCTGGTGGGACACCCCGTCAGGATGTGCTCACTGTGGTCAGTGCTCTCCATCCGGACACCCAGGGGTGGGCACCCATACTATATAAGGAGAGTGAGGGAAGAAGTGAGAAAGAAAAGGAAGGACAAGCAACACAAAAGAAAGACTGGAAGGAGCCTGTAAACCCATTGTCACAAATAGGGAATACAGTCAATGTGTGGTAATGATGGTATGATGCCAGGTGGGTCCTGGAAATATCGGGGAACACTTTGTAAAGTATACGGTTGTCTAACCACTATTCTGTAACTAATATAAACCTGAAACCAATACAAAGTAATATTGAATGTAAAGCAATGAAAATTGGAGTGCAATTTTTATAAATTTCAAAGTTTAAATAAAGGCTGTAAAGGAAGGAAGGGGGAGAATAAAATATAGTGTTTTTCATTTTACCACTTTGTCTTTTCAGTACATGAAAAAGACAGTTGTCTTTATATGGTGCTTTTATACTTTTCTAAGTCGTTATCATTTTAACTTCAGGGCAACTTAAAGACAAGATAATTATTCCCTCTACTATTCAAAGAAAGGAAATCTTGGTGTCTGGTCCCAATGATTCAATCCTCAAGCCCTTACTGTAAAGCAGGGTCAGTGAACTTTTCTGTGCAGGGTCATATCTATACTAATAAAAGCCTTGGGGGTGACCAGGCTGGCAGAGGAGCAGTTAGGGGGCAATCAGGCAGGCAGCCAAGCAGTTAGGAGTCAGCGGTCCTGGATTGTGAGTGGGATGTCCGACAGGATCGGGCCTAACCCCTCAGTCTGACATCCCCTGAGGGGTCCCAGATTGGAGAGGGTGCAGGCTGGGCTGATTTTATGCCCTGGGCCTCTAATAATGATAATAAATAATGATGATGATGATAATAACAATAATAATAAAACAAACTGAAAAACCGACACTGACACAGTTCTGAACCGAGGGGCAGAGTTGGGTCCCAGTGGCTCTGGGCCAAGCTGGTACAAGCTGTATGACAAGCACTTGTTTTCAGAGCCCGAAATGCAGCTGCATCTTGCACAACACGGGGTTCCCCTTGGTGAGGGGGACGGAGGCTGCGGGCACCGGCCTCGCAGGGCGCTGACGCTGCTGGAATGGCTTGTTTACGCTCCCACTGACTCAGTTCAGAGGCAGCGCTCCAAGGGAGCCCCGCCCGCCATGCTTCCTTGTACCCCCCAAACTTCTGCATGAACCCCAGGCCATACTAGGCCCTGGACCCACAGTCTCACAGACAGGGCCCGGCTTGCAGGGCTCAGGATAAAGGGCTGGTGGGCCTGTCCCGCCCTAGGCCTGCCCCCAGAGCCTGGGTTGGCTCCCCTGTATAGCAGGGGCAAGAAGGGGACCCCTCTAGGGACTGGGGCCCTCCGTCAGCACTGGCCAGGGGGCAGCTGGGCCCCTCATCTCCTGCTGAGAGGACCCCAAGGGCAGGCTGCTGGGCCAGGGAGGCCCCTTCTCAGTCCCCTGGCCCCACCCTGTCTGCTGTCACCTCCCGGGGGCGAGAGGGCCTGCCCTGGCCTCTCTCTCCGTCTCTCCTTCATGTGGGCTGGCATCTTGAGTGTGGAAGGTGAGGGTGAAGAGCCCGGAGAGGGAGGCCTGCAGCGGGAGCCAGGCCTAGACACCGCGGGTAGGCCGGGCGAGAGTGGATAGGTGCGCTGGGGTGCACAAGGACACCCTCGGGCCCCACCCCGCCCCGAGCGAGGAGATGCCTGCAGGGCGCCCGGGCGTAAGGACGGAGCTGCTCCCTCACCCTACGTCTGTCCGTCTTCTCCTGTCTGGCTTTTACGTCTGTTGATCTTTCACCAATCACCTATCACTTATGTATCCACTTCTCTTTTCTCTGTTGATCAAGTATTCAATTATCTGTATCTATCCACCTATCACCTACCAATCAGTTCACCTGTCATCTCTTGTCCATTCATCCATCACCGCCATCTTTTGCAGAAAGAAGGTTAAGCATACAGGCCCCTGCCCTGTCCCGCTCAGAGCCTTCCACACGCGGCTCCCTCCCGAAACCGCTCCAGGCTCCCCAAGGCCAGTGCAGCCGCAGGCAGGGCTCCTCCCTCGGCAAGGCTCCCTCTTGAGCCTTCCCCAAACCCTTCTCTCTGTTGTCCCTCCTGGACACCCCACACACGTGTGTGCATCTGCTTGCTCCTTAGACCCTCCCTCATTCTCGTGTCCCCTGGGAGCTTCAGGGAGAGGTGGGTAGGAGTGGAGTGTGAGGTCCAGGAGGAGCCCAGAGTTGGCTCTGTTCTGCCCCCGCTCTGGGCTGCAGCACCCATGGATGAGTGAGAATGCCACAGACACCTTCTGAGGACCTACTGTGTGCCAGACACAGTCCATGGGTGGTGGCACCCGTGGGGAGACCCAGACCGACCAAGGTCCCTAAAAGCACAGGCAAGAATGGGGCCACTTCACCCTCTGGCAGAACTCCACGTGGGCCGGTGGGCAGGATGGGTTGCAGCCTGGTGTTAGGCCGGCATGGCGAGGGTGGGCCCCTGCAGTGCCTGCCACTTCCCCAGCCCGAGGCTCCAGGCGAGGCTTCTGACCCCAAATGCCCCCAAAGTTGATGTGGGACCAGCCATGGCTCCCCAACCCTGACACAGCACCCCAGGCCGTTGCCTTACAAATGTGCCGCGGGCCCTGGGTCTGAGAAGTGCTGGTGGCCTGAGCGGGAGGGCAGGGCAGGGCCAGGCGGGGCGGGGGGCGGGGGAGTGGGAGTGTGTGCAGGGCAGGGGGTGGCTCGGCCGGGACGGCAGCCAGTGCACCTGAAGTTTCTTTAGTTTTCCAGTCTCGCCAGAGAATGCATGTTTATGGGTTTCAGAGAGGAAGACAGAGGGAAAATATTAATCAGTTGCCTCCCGTACTCGCCCAACTGGGGATTGAATCTACAACCTGGGCAGTGCCCTGGCCCAGTCCAGCCGCAGCCTCGGCCTATGGGACGCGCTCGCCACCCGAGCGCCAGCGGCTGCAGTGGGCGGTGGGCCAGCTTCTCACGGCCGCCCGCTGGCCACACCTGTGGGGCCCCATAGAGCGGACGGTGGCCGCCGCGACCTGGCCACGGCCTTGGGCCTGGCTGCGGGCCCCTCGCTGTTCTGTTAAAATGACACAGCACTGGGGACCGGGCTCTGGGCTCCGCCTGGAAACCGCCTGGATGCCAGGCCCCGGTGTGAGCCAGCAGGCTGCGGGGCAGAAGGGAGGCGGCACAGGCCGCCGGGCAGGAGGGAGAGAGCTGGGAGCCGCAGGGGAGGAGCAATCGTTTATTGGTCATTTGTGCTTAGAAAAGCAAGGGGGGGGGGGGGTGTTTGCCCGGGGAAGCTGCTGGTCGGGGTGCCAGGCAGGAAGGGCGGAGCCAGGGCCGGGCAGTGTGCTGGCCGGCAGGCATCTCCTTGTCCTTTTGGAAATGTCCCAAGACTCGGGCCGGCCCTGGCCTGGCCGCCCTCCTCGGCCTGCCGCGTGTCTGTGGCCACGGCCCTCCTTGGGGTCGTTCCGCCTCTGGCCTCGCTGCCCCTGCTTCAGGGGAGGAGCCGCAGGTGGAGCAGGACTCACTGGTGAGTGTCCTCCAGCCCGGTCCTGGCTCTGGCGTTCTCAGGGTGCAACGCCCAGGCGGGGCCCACGGCTGAGGCCGCTCCTGGGGTCCACATGACTGTGGCGGCATCGGCCAGGCACCTGCAAAGGGCAGAGAGTGGTGAGGCTGCCAGGCAGGGCCTGGCCATCCTAAGACCCTGCTTAGTGGTGTCCAGAGTGGGGGCCACTCCGACTCCAGAAAGGCCCCATTCTGACCTGGGCAAGCCTCAGTTTCCCCTCTGGAGCCCCTGAGAGTTGGAGGGCCTGGCCCCGCACACTCTGACGGGGCCCGGAGAACAGGGCCGGAGGGCGCCAGCCTTGGGTCTGAGGCTCGGGGAGTCGGGGTCATGTTTGAGGTCACCCTGGCCCGGCCATCGTGCCGTGAACAGGGAGCACGCTGGCGGCCGGTGCTCTGTGGGTCCCCACACGGCCATGGGCGTCCCTGCTGGACAGACAGCTGCCCGTCAGCCGTCCACCCTTCCTCTGGCAGCAGGCTCCCCGCCCCGTGGTGTGCAGCCCAGCGGGGTCCCGAGTGCAGGACCCTGCGCCCTGCGTGTGGGGTGGGAACGCCCAGCGGCAGGCGCCACCCACAAGGCCGGGCAGAGGAGGACGCGAGGCCGGGGGCCCAGCTCCAGTCAGGGCCGGGGGGCCTGGGGGCCGAGCCGGGGAGGGCCGTGGCCCTCACTCACCGGCCTACTGCCGCGGCGCCAGCTCCGTCGCGGGCCTCTGGACGCCGAAGGCCGTGATGAAGATGTTGACCACCACGATGATGAAGACCAGGCCGGTGGCCAGGTTGTTGAGGAAGTCCAGCTTGGCGTGCTTGGCTGGGTTGTTGAGGTCGTACCTGACTGTGGGGAGAGGGTATGCACACTGCCCAGGCCGCCCGCCAGGCCCGCACGGCCACCTCCGTCCATCAGACGCCTGCTTCATGCACGACCGACCGGGGACGGCCGGCCGGAAGCCCCGCAGGGCCAGCACCTTCCTGAGTGTCCTGTGAGGGGTCCTCCCTCAGGCCTCACCTTCACGTGACAGGCAGGGCAACTGAGGCAGGAGGTCCCACAGCAGCCAGGAGGCGGGCCCGGGGGCTCCCCGCTCACACTCAAAGGGCCCGGGGCTCCCCGCTCACAGGGCCCGGGGCTCCCCGCTCACAGGGCCCGGGGCTCCCCGCTCACAGGGCCCGGGGCTCCCCGCTCACACTCACAGGGCCCGGGGCTCCCCGCTCACACTCACAGGGCCCGGGGCTCCCCGCTCACACTCACAGGCCCGGGCCCCCTGCCCGGCAGCCACCCGGGGCTCGTACCCAGGAAGATGAGCAGCACGCCCACGCTGATCTGCAGCACCAGGGAGATGGAGATGAGGGCCACGAGGGGCGCGAAGAAGCCGAAGCTGGGGCCCTGGTCGATGACGGCCTTCAGCTGCGAGGCGTTGGCCATGAGCAGGGCGATGTCCAGCATGCTCTCGGCCGCGCTCTTCTTGTTGGCGTAGTGGTTCACGTTGATGGGCCCGCTGCGGCCCCAGCGCGAGGGCTGCGGGGGGAGAGGGGTCAGAGGGCGCCCGGGGCTCCTCCGGGGACTGGAAGGGAAGCAGCCCGGTGGAGGTTTGGGAAGGAAGCCTCACAGAACAAGAGGCGGGAGAGGGCCAGGTGCCCCGCCGACCCCCTCGGAACCCGTCCCGCAGGAGGAAGGAAAGGTGCCTCCGCACACCGCACACCGCGCTGGGGCCGCCCTGGACGGCCGCACCCCGTTCCCGGCCCCCCGGCCCCCCTCCTCCCCCCTCCGGGTCTGGGGGGCCAGGGCAGAGGTGGCTTTGGGGTGGGAGCCAGATCCCTTCACAGAGCACCCCCACCCCGGCCGAGCAGGAGCGCAGCAGACCCCAGAGCAGCCTGGCGTTCTCTGCTGCACAGAGCCTTCCTTAACTTCATTTACAAAGTGTAAGCCGCGTAACTGCACATGGCTGACAGGCCAAAAGCTGCATGTTTCACGCAGACGGTGCAGGCGGAGGCGAGTGCCCGCCCAGCCTCCACACCGGCCGCAGTGTGCACAGGTGTGTGAGCGCTGCCATGTGCACAGGTGTGAGCGCTGCCGTGTGCACAGGTGTGAGCGCTGCCGTGTGCACAGGTGTGAGCGCTGCCGTGTGCACAGGTGTGTGAGCGCTGCCGTGTGCACAGGTGTGTGAGCGCTGCCGTGTGCACAGGTGTGAGCGCTGCCGTGTGCACAGGTGTGTGAGCGCTGCCATGTGCACAGGCCGCACGGAAGCCTGCCCCTCCCCTCCAGGCAGACCCCCGGCCTCTGCTGAGAACGGCCCGGCCACTCCCCACGTCTCCCCCTCCAGGTGACCTCGAACTGCCCCACTTTCCCCACCCCCGCCCTGGCCCTTTGTCCCCTGGCAGCTGCTGCCAAGCTGGACGGGCCTCCTGGGGCCACAGGAGATCCTGTTTCTGGACTCAGGAGAGGGGGATGGGCGGCGGGGCGGGAGGGCCGGGCTCAGCCCCCTCCACCTGGCGCCTCGGAGGGCGGGCTCCCGTCCAAAGCACCTTCACGTTCACATTGAGTTCACATTGAGGCGGCTCTGCTGCCTGCCTCTTCCCTCCGTGGTGGCTCCGAAGTAGTGAACCCACTGGTTTAAATTCCACCCACAGGCGCGGCCCTGCCCGCCCGCCCGCCGGACGCTCGCTTGGCCGGGCTGGGCCCCCTGCCCCCACGCCAGGTCTGAGGCCGCGCTCACGGTGGCCGGCCTCACGCCCAGCCTCGGGCTGCTCCCTGGCCAGGGTCGGGGGCTGCGCCCCCTGGCATGAGGCCACCCCTCGCCCCACACCCATCATCGGTGCCCCTGCGCTTCCTAAACCAAGAGGCCAGGCTGGTCTCACTGGGGCACCAATGCTCACCCAGGCTCACCCAGAGGAAAGCCGGCTGCACTCACAAAGGGCTCCACTCCCGTGGGCCAAGTGCACACGAGCTTATGCACACACACCCACTCATTCACACACAAACAAACATGCACACACACACACAACCAAGCCGACACATAAACATAACACGCACACGCGCGGGCACACATGTATTAACATGCATATACCAACATGCACACATATACATACACAATACAGGCATGTGTACACATGCATAGATACTCACACATATGTACACGCCCATAGGAACCGCTGCCTGCCTCCCCAGCTGCCAGGAGCCTCCCTGGAACCTCCTACCAAGACCTGGGCAGCGCAGGGGACAAACGCCCTGTTAGTGTGCTCCTGGCCCATAGGACCCCAAGCCGCACCGGGGCCCAGGGCGTGGACTGCTTCCCCTAAAGGCTGGGGCCGGTGGGCAGGAGCTGTGCACAGGGCTGCCCACCCTCTGCGGCAGGGTCTTAGGCACCTCTCCATAGAACACACTGCTGTGCGTCCTCCGTCCAGCAGGTGGGGGCCTGGGACTTGATTCGAACCCAGGATTTGAACCCAGGTCTGAGGCACCCCGGCTGCCCAATTCTGGTCACAGTATGGGGGATAGTCCAGCGGAGGGGGCTTCCCAAGGCTCCAGCCCCCATCCCTGCTCTCCCGGAGACCAGGCAGGAACCTGAGGGCTGGTCACTGACCCGCCCCTGGGCCTGGCTCCACTCTGCCATGGACCCAGTCCTGAGCAGTGCAGAGCGAGGCCGCATGGGTCCGCCGTCCGGCCAGAGCCCACTTCACCTCTGCTGGGCGGCAGCCCGAGGACCCAGCAATCTGAGGCTCAGCACCTGGCCTCCCCCCGCATCCCTGACGGTGCCGATTCTCCATCTGTAAACGGCTGGCGGGAGGGGTCAGGGGTCTGAGTGGTGGCCCACAGCGGAGGGCTGTCAGGAATGGAGCCCTAACTGGCCTGGCCATGCGGGCACCGCCTGGGGCCACACAGGCCACACCATCCCCAGACTCCCATCAGCCGGCAAGAGGTCTTGACCTGCTCCAGGCAGGAAGTCTGGTGGAGGACGGAGGGGGTGTTTCCGGTGGCAGCTGGCTGTGGGCTGGGCACACCCACTTCCTGTGGGCTCAGCACTGGCCTCTGGTGACCCTGCGGCCACGTCACCTTTTAGAAGGTGGCGAGGACCCCGTCAGCCCGGAATCTGCCGGGAAAGCAGAAAGGAGAGGCAAAGTCCCGCTCCTCGGGCTGCGCTGGCCCAGAGCCGGAGCCTCGCCGTCCCGTCCACCCCCTGCTGTCCTCCGCTGGCACCGTCCCAGGACCTGCTGCCGTGTCCCCAGCCGCCAGCCAGGCCCCCAGGCAACACGTAGCTGTAAACAGCCCAGTGTGCAGGCCGCTTTCACAACAGCCCCACACGCACCGGCCCTCCCGCCTTAAGAAAACATTTCCGGGGGCCGGGCAGACGGGCCTGCTGCCCCGCACAGGCCAGGGCATCTCGGATCTCCCCCTGCCTGGCCCACGGCGCCTGCCCACGGGCCACCTGTCTGATTCCTCCAGGCCTGGCCACCTCACAGCAGAGCGCTGAGCCGGTGGCTCTGCCTGCCCCCGGCGCAGCACCGCCAGGCCCCCCCCGCCTGTCCTCGTGGCCAGGGGCATGCTGGGGACACAGCCCCTCGCCCCGGTGTGCCCCTCCTCCGGCCAACCTTTCTGCCCGCCCTCAGCAGGCGCCTGAGGCCGCCCTGGGACGGGAAGGGAGGGGAGCAGGAGGAGGGAGGCAGCACGTCAGTGTCCGTGTCCCCAGGAGAGGGCGTGGCAGGCGGAGGCCGCGCTCCACACACAGCTCCTCCTCGGTCCTCACCGTGACCCTGAGGAGTGCACTGCTGCCCCCACGTCACAGACGAGAAACCGAGGTCGGCCCTGGGGGGAGGGGAGGGGGAGGCTGAGAGCTCCTGGGGGTGGAGTGCCCTCTTCACCCGACCCTGCACGGGCCTCCAGGCCAGGGGCCAGGCCTGCGGAGGAGTCAGACATGCGGGGCGGCGGCTTGCTCTCCCCATGCCCTCTGCCTCGGGCCCTCTCCACATCGGGTGGGGCACCTGCACCCATCCATCCTCCAGGCCCCGCTGCCGGCACGCCAGCCCGGGGGCTTCTGTCTGCTCACCGGATGCAGAGCCACCCCCTCCAGACCCAATGCAGTGCCCTCCCCTTCCAGAGCCAGGCAGTGCCCTCCCCCTCCAGAGCCAGGCAGTGCCCCTCCCCCTCCAGAGCCAATGCAGTGCCCTCCCCCTCCAGAGCCAGGCAGTGGCCCTCCCCCTCCAGACTCAATGCAGTGCCCTCCCCCTCCAGAGCCAGGCAGTGCCCCTCCCCCTCCAGAGCCAATGCAGTGCCCTCCCCCTCCAGAGCCAGGCAGTGCCCCTCCCCCTCCAGAGCCAATGCAGTGCCCCTCCCCCTCCAGAGCCAGGCAGTGCCCTCCCCCCCAGCCAAGGCAGTGCCCCTCCCCCCAGCCAAGGCAGTGCCCCTCCCCCCAGCCAAGGCAGTGCCCCTCCCCCTCCAGACCCAATGCAGTGGCCCTCCCCCTCCAGACCCAATGCAGTGGCCCTCCCCCTCCAGACCCAATGCAGTGGCCCTCCCCCTCCAGACCCAACGCAATGGCCCTCCCTCTCCCCCTCCAGACCCAACGCAGTGCCCCTCCCTCTCCCCCTCCAGACCCAACGCAGTGCCCCTACCCCCAGACCCAAGCAGTGTCCCTCCCCATCCAGACCTAACGTAGTGCCCCTCTCCCAAGACCCAATGCAGTGCCCCTCCCCCTCCAGACCCAACCCAGTACCCCTCCCCCCAGACAGGTCTGCTGGGAAGTGTGCAGCCAAGGCTGGGAGGTGAGCAGGACCCCTCCCTTCAAACCGACTTCCACCTGAGGGCCTGGGGTTACTTGCTGTACCCCCCCCCAGCCCCAGGCCAGGGCAGAGCCGGGGGGGGGGGGGGGAGCGCCCCCCCCACACACAGCCCAGGCTGTAAGGCTCCTCCAGGGCAGGGCCACTGCGCTCCTCCTCACCTCTAACCAGGACAGCCCCGCCCCGGCTGCCCGGTGTGAGGGAGGGCGGCCCGGCCGGGAGGTTAGCTGTGGGAGGAGGAGGGAAATGACCGTTGTGTGGGACTCGGCTCTGCCTGGCATCCACGCCACCTGGTGTCCTATCATCCCCCCAGGCCCTACCCCAGGGGCAGAAACGGAAAGAATGTCTACCAGCCCCCCAGGCGGTGCCAGGGCAGCTCACACCCCTGGGCAGTGCTGGCCCCAAGGGGCCCTGCCCAGCGCAGAGGGACCAGGGCCGGAGGGCGCCGGCCCCGACGGGGGGCTCCCCCTGCGCCCCAGGCCTGGCCCGGCAGGGCAGGCTGCAGGGCCGCGGGGTGGGTGCGGGGACAGCGGCCCCAGAGGCTCCAAGTTCCCCGGGGACACAAGTGGCGCCAAGTTTCCGCGGTCCAGAGCCCGGTTCCCTGTGGGGGCCACGCGGGCTGCGCGGTGCTGTGCGGCCGCGCCGGTGCCGCCGAGCCGGTGCCGCTGGCCCGGGGCCGCCGTGCCGGTGCCGCTGGCCCGGGGCCCGGAGGCTGCGCCCCCCCCTCCCCGCCGGGCGCACCGGGCCGATAGGCGGCTGGAGCTGGAGGCTGCGGGAGGGGAGGCTCCGGCACCCCCAGCGCGCGCCCCGCTCACCTGCGGGCCGGCGGGGGGAGAGGGGGGACCCCGCGGGGCTCACGGGGCCCGAGCCCAGGGAGGCGGCCCTTGGAGGCCGCGGGGGGCGGAGAGGGCTTACCCGGGCGTCCTGGGCGCCGGGCGAGTCCGGCCGCAGGTCACCGTTGAGCTCGTACCCCTCCGGGGCCGAGTCCATGGTGCGCCCGGCGCCGCCGCTCCGCCGCGAGCTGAGGCCGCCCCTCCCGCCGCCGTGTCCCGCGCGCGCCGCGGGCCCGGACCTGACCGCCGGCCCCGCCCGCCAAGGCCCCGCCCCCGGCTGGCCCCGCCCCCGCCTGACCCCGCCCTCTCAGACCCCGCCCCCAGACTGGCCCCGGCCCCGCCCTCCGCGCCGGGGACGCTGGGGCTCCTCCCTTCCCAGGCCGGAGGTGTGGAGTCCGCCTTCTCCGCGCCCGGTCCGGGCGATTTTAATCCGTAAAACCGGCCCGGAGCCTGGCCCTCCGCCCACGCCGGGAGCCCACGCCGGCGGCGCGCCCGCTGTGCGCCCCGGCGCCTCCACCGCTGAGCCCTGCCTCCGCCCGGGCAGCGGGACGCCGGCCTCCCACGCACCCCCTCCTCCCCTCGGGGACAGCGCGGCTCCCGGCGGGAGGCAGGGCCCTGCCCGGCGGCGCCGGGTGCAGTGGGTCCGGCCCGGGCTCCTGCCCCCTAACTGGACCAGAACCCGGGCCTCCCAGGTGCCGGCGCGGAGGGAGCCCTAGCGGGCTCCGGGCACAGCTGCCTTCCCGCTCCGGCGGGGACCCCACTCTGCCTTCCCCCTCTGCTCTGAAACCCCTCCCCAGGCCCTGAGCAGAGCCACCCGCCCCGTGCTCCTGCGCCTGGGGCGGCCTCCGGGCCCTGAGCCCCCGGCCTGCGGCCTGGGCCGGCGGCTGGGCTCTCCGCGGTCGGCTCCCTGTGAGGGGAAGGGGCCTCTTAGCCCGCGGCCGGGCATGGTCCCCCAGACTGGCTCAGACCACCCCCTCCCGGCTGCGGGAAGCGCAGTGGTGGGAGCCAGCCCCCAGCCCCAGCGCTGTGCTCTGGGCCGCCCTGCTGGGCCCAAGGCGCCGCTTCTCTCTCCCTGGGTGCCGGTGCCCCGAACCCGCGGAGGAAACTGAGGCACAGCTGGCTGAGCGGTGGCCTGTGGGTCCGGCCCCGCCGGTTTGCAGGCGGGCACGTGTGGGGCTGGAACCCCAGGGGCCTTGCCGGCCCTGCTCTCCACGCCCCCCTCCGCCCCCGTGGTGGCTGGTGTTTGTGTGTGAACTGAAGGCATGGAAAATGCGAGTCACCGGGGGAATTACCAGGAGAGGAGTCACGCACTCGGCCCGGTTAGGCTGCCCTGTGGCCAGGGCACGTCCGTGCCACCGGTGGCCGCCCGCCGGGCCCTGCTGCTGTAGGACTGCCGGTCCCATCTGCTCACCAGGCATTTGGACCCGGGACCCGGCCCCTCAGGGCTGTGTTCCTCTGGGGCCTGAGGTCAGGGGGTGTGAGCTGCGCCCTCTGCGCAGAAGCCAGCATGGGGGGGCGGGCAGGGTCCCCTCCGTGGCAGCGTTCCCTCGCTGTCCAGGCCTGAGCCCCGCCTGGCTGCGGGAGGCCCAGGCGTCCGGGTGGTGGGAACCTGCTGTCCTGCACCAGGAGCATCTTGGGGCTCAGGGGGGAGTTTGGGTGCCTGGCCTCCCGCCCTGAAGATGCTGTCCTGTGGGGCTCCTGACAGCTCTGCGTGCCGGAGGCAAGAGCCAGGAAAAGGCGCGGTGGGCCGTGGGCCGCCGGGCACTCGGATCTGGATATGTCACCCTACTCTGAAGGAGACACGTGTGCGGCTAGCGCACGCATGCAGACACGCACAAACGGCTGCACTCGCCGCGCTGGGCTGATGCGCTTGCCCCTCTGAGCGGTGTGGCTGGCCGTGCCTCCGGTGTGTAAACGGGGTGCCGTGAAGAGGTGCCCCCTGCACTCTGGTCTTTTGAGCAGGCAGCCTCGAACCCGGGGCGGACCCAGGGGCGCAGCCTCGCTCTGCTCAGGGCACCCTCACCACCCCTCTCAGTGGCCCCTGGAGAAGCGTGGATGTGGGGAGGAGGTGTGCTGAGACACCCTGCTTGTGAACGGGGCGGCTTGGACCCGGGACCCGGCCCCTCAGGGCTGTGCTCCTCTGGGGCCTGAGGTCAGGGGGTGTGAGCTGCGCCCTCTGCTCCATCTCCGAGAGGCGGTCCCTCTCCATCTCCGAGAGGCGGGAGTGGGGCGGGGATGAGAATGCTGGAGGTGGTGAGGCAGGCCTGGCACCCCGGGCGGAGGGAGGCAGGCCTGTGCAAGGTCCTGGCCAGGAGGCTGGCTCTGCAGCTGCAGCTCTGCCCTCCTGGGCCGGGGCCCGGGCTCACCCACACATGCCCACCGCCAGGGAGCAGCGGGCCTGAGGCAATGGGCACTCCCTATAGCTGGTGGCTGCCTACGGGGCACCCCGGGCACCGTTACCTGGCAGCGGGTGGGGCCCAGTGCTCTTCGCTCTGTCAGGTGCTTTCGGGAAGCACAGCCCGCCAGACGGTGAAGGTGGGGGGGCGGCCCCGGGGGAGGTGTGTGCCATCACCCCATGGAAGGCGGGAGAGGAAGCCCTGCCACAGGCGGCCGGGCCGAGCCTGGCAACAGGCTGGGTGTGCGGTGGGCACTGCAGGCGTTTCGCCCCGTCGGCCCTTGCAGGACTTAAGATGCCAGGGCCACATGGAAGGGAGCAGCTGGTCCTCGAAGGCTCTGAACCCCAGAAATAAAGCGGGTGCTGAGCTCCTTGCAGCCATCAGCAGAGCAGGCCCAGCAGCGGCTGGCTCCGGCAAGGGGTCTGGATCCACAGGCCGTCTGTTCGCCTTGTGCCCATCTCCCCCCCCCCTCCCCTTGTCCCCCCCACCGTCTCGAAGGGGGTAAGAAAGAAACCTGTCTTGTTTTGAGGGCGCTGTAATTTTTCCCTGATGTCCACAGCTGACCTCAATCCTATTTTTCACGTTATATTTTCATTAATAAAGCAGTTTTCTTTAAACACAGGACAGAGTAAACACTTCCCCTACCCCTCAGTCCTGTGTGAAACGCACATCCACCAGCCAGCTTGAGCCCCTCCGAAGTCTCGTGGAAAGCCCTCACCCCTGTGCTCCCCTCCCGCCGCCTGCTCTCGCCCCATGGCCGCCTGGTTACCTCGGCCCTGCCTGGCCTCCCCTCGTCCCGGACTGCAGCCCCCTGTCTGCCTCGGCCCGGCCCTCACTGTGCCCTGGAGAGCACCGGTCTTGTTCCTGGGGCTGGACACAAAGCCCAGGCACTGCTGACCCGTGCCCACCAGCCCTCTGCCCGGGGCACGCCTGGCCACGTCTCTGCTCAGCCGCCACCGCCCTCCGCGATGGCGGGTGCGGCCTGTGCTCCGCAGACACAGCCACACCGGGGCCAGGCCGACACCGAGAGCGGGTCAGTGGCCTGGGTGAGTGTGGACTCCGGGCAAGGGGGCTGTGGTTTGGCGAGAGCGGGCGCTGGCAGGCCAGGCCTTCCTCCTCCCGAGGCCACTGCGGGCTGTGGCTGTGCAGGCTCCTGGTCGGGGCGGCAGAGGGCAGCCGGGCGGCCGCGCTGCTCCCTGTAAGCTGGGTCTGAAGCTTTGCCTCGGCCCCTGCTCCACGGACGGGCTGCTCCGTGAGACCGGACCAGCTGCTCCTCCGCCTCCCCTGTCCAGGGCCACAGCCTTTGTTCCCAGGCCCGAGTCCCAGGTGCCCTTGAGGGCGACCTCTCTGTGCCCCGGTGTTTCCTGCCCCTTGGGAGGCCCCGCTCCCTGGGGCTCAGGAGCTGCCTCCTGCACCCACGGGTCCAGGTGCTCCCAGCCGGCTGGGCGTGGCTGAGGCTCCCAGTGCGACCTGACCTCAGGGCTGTGGCCAAGTGGGGACACTGCCACCCAGAGGCGGGGCCTCGTGCTGCTTGCTGTGGAGTGTGCTCCTGCTGCAGGCGGGAGCGGCTCCCAGAGCTGAGACCCAGCACAGCCCTCCTGGAATGGGTGCCGAGAGCCCCCTGAGGCCACGGAGAGGCTGGAGGGCGCCCAGGCCAGCAGGCTCCGGGGCCTGCAGGGAGCGAGGCTTCAGGCCTGGTGTGGAGGGAACGGCAGAGGCTTCACCCAAGGGGGTGCCTTTGTCCTGCACTGGTTGGCCAATCACAGCACCTGGGGGTGCTCACCAGCACCCTCCCCCCCTCCCCCCCTCTGCTTCCGTTTCTGTCAGGCCCAGGAGGGGGTTGCTCTGGGGACCTCCCTCTGTGCCCTGAGGTGGGGACTAGGGTCAAGTCATGGGTTTGACTGGGGACCCACTTCTGGGCACATGTTCCTTCCCACGCTGCCCCCTCCCCCTGCCCCTCGCCTCGCTGTCCGCATGGCACGTGTGGCTGCCTCAGAGGCACCGTTTGCAGTTGTTTCACTGGCACAATCCGGGGAGGACAGAGCTCCGGTGCCCGGGCTCCTGCCCTGTCCCAGCTCCCAGCTGAAGGCAAATCGGCGGCAGATGCACGCACTGCGTGCCGGGAGGGTGGAGGCGGAAAAGCAGCCGCACCTGGTGTGCTGACACCTGCCGGGCGGCTGCTGGCTTCTGCCTCTCCGTCTGAAATGCTGGCTTCAACCGCCTGGGCTCCCATGTTCCTTCCCCTCCCTCCCTCCCTGTCAGCTAAAGCTGATCCAACAATCTGGGAGCTGAGCGTCCTGTCCTGCAGACTAGGAAGCAGGCATGGCCGACTGCAGGGGCTCCGGGGCCGAGCCCCAGGTCCAGCCGCAGAGTCGAGGCAGGCCCGAAGCTGGCCTCTCGGTGGGGCCAGCTGCCTTGTCGCTCCTGGGCGGTGTCTGCCATCTCTGGGCCGCTCCCCGAGCTCACACCTCTGTCCGTGGCCCCGATGGCCCTCGGTCAGAGGCTGGTGCTGCAGAGCCCAGAGCACGCAGCGGCTCTCACTCAGACATCTCCCGAGCGACAGAACCTGGCAACACAAAGGGGCTTTTATCCGCTGGATGGCGGCCCCCTCTGCACAGGAGGACAGGCAGCATTTCAGGACCGCCCCCCTCAGGCTGGCCCTCCTGCTCGGCAGCTTTTCCAGCTCCTTCTCCAAGCCATTACTCACTCCGTCCTGGCAGGGCCTCCCTGGTCCCTTTCCTGCAGAAACCGTGAGAGAAGA